ACGACCAGTGCGAGCAGTACGAACAGGCGACGCAGGACGAGACTCAGGCTCACGACGCTCTGTAAGACCTCCTGTGGGACCAGTGTAAGGAGAGGGACCAGGAAGAGGCGAGGCAGGCGGGAACTGTGACTGCGACTGGACAGGCGGAGGACACTCTACGGAGGGAGGAGGACAAGGAGGAGGAGCCTGACCAAGAACCTGCTGAAGAAGTGGTACGAAGTACGGTCGCGGCCGCGTAGCGTCTCCAGAACCAGCAGAGACACCAGCGGCAGGGTCCTCAGCACCAGCAGCAGCTCCAACGTCCGGGTCCTCAGCACCAGCAGCAGCTCCACCGCTCGGGTCCTCAGCTCCAGCAGCAGCTCCAACGCCCGGGTCCTCAGCACCAGCAGCAGCGCCACCGCTCGGGTCCGCAGCACCAGCAGCAGCTCCAACGCCCGGGTCCTCAGCACCAGTAGCAGCGCCACCCCCAGGGTCCGCAGCACCAGGAGCACCACTCCGAAGACTGCAGCGCCGCGTGTACCACTCTCGGATCTGCTGAATGGGGGGGAGCTCCTGGGCAGGAGGGGAAGTACTGGTACGAGCTCCAGTAGCACCTCTCCGGAGGCGGCAGTACTGTAGGTACCGCTCCTGCAGCTGCCGGGAGGAGAGGGCTCCTCCAGGTGTAGTACGCTCAGGCTCAGCACCCCCAGACTCAGCACCCCCAGACTCAGCACCCCCAGGCTCAGCACCCCCAGGCTCAGCACCTCCAGGCTCAGCACCCCCAGACTCAGCACCCCCAGGCTCAGTGCGAGGAAGAGAGGCTGGAGCGAGGAAGAGAGGCGGGGGGGGGAGCGGGGCAGTGCGGTAGGGGAAGAGGCGGTAGTAGGGGACGGACTCGTCAAAAGTGACGTCCTGAGAGGCCAGGACACGACGCGAGGTGGCGTGGTAGAACTGCCAACCAGGCGCGTCCGGGACAAAGCCAAGGAAGACACAGGGGACAGCTCGACGGGAGAGCTTGTCCGCGGACGTATCGCGAACAAAAGCTCGAGATCCCCAGACCCGAAAACGCGACGCATCGCCAGCCTCTCCCGTCCAACGCAGTGTCGGAGAAGTCTCTGGTAAGGAGACACGGGGCCAGAGGTTGAGCTGATGCGCAGCGTATCGGACTGCAAACGGCCACAGAAAGTGGGGGGCAGCCGCATGAACCAAGGAGGTACGAGCGACCTCCATGACCAAGCCAATGCGGCGCTCAGCAACCCCATTCTGCTGTGGAGAGGCCGGAAGCGTGAACGACTGCTCAATGCCCTCCTGCTGACAGAAGGCCTCCAAGAGGCCAGAGGAAAACTCCCCACCTCTGTCAGAGTGCAGACGCAGGACAGGGAAGTCGGAGCGGAAACGCTCACTGAGCTGGAGACGAGATCTGCGGATCCAAGGGATCAAGACATCAGGGACGTCACCCTTGGTGCGCAAGGGGAAGACCGTGGTGTAGCGCGAGAAGTCGTCAACAACAATCAGGAAGTACCTCTCCTGACCCTGACCACGGACTCGGGCTGGGCCCCACACGTCCATGTGGAGCGTCTGCAAAGGAGCAGTCGTCGGGGGGAAGGAGGAGGAGTGAGGCGGCCTAGTGTGGCAGAAGCGGGGGAGGAGTAGCGAGCGACTACAGCAGTGTACAGGTCATTCCTGTCAAAAAAAAAAAAAAAAAAAAAAAAAAAAAAAAAAAAAAAAAAAAAAAAAAAAAAAACCGAGCCGCGCGCGATTGGCTGGCGGGCTGCGCGCGCGCGGTAGGTAGGAGGCGCACTGGGGCGCGTAGGCGCACGAGGGCGCACGGTAGGTAGGTAGGTAGGTAGGTAGGTAGCGGTGGGCCCTAAGAACGGTCCTAGCGAAGGACCTGCTCTGATACCATGTCGGAATCAACAGACAGGAATGATTGAACTAGCAGTGAAATCAGTACAAGTACCTAACCCTAGAATTGTGTACCCCCTATAGGCTAACCCACTGTAGCCTAAACAAACACAACATATATAATGTTTGACAATCACCTGCCTTATTGTAAACGAGAATTGGTCACTGTGATGCGGACTGACGCATGAGGCTTTCTGCGCCTGTTGTCGTGCAAACACACAGTATACCAAGACAGACCGATGGATCTGACTGCGGCATTTTCGTGTGCATGTATCTACACATGCTGGTGATTACGGCTTTCGCTGTACTGTCGCAGAGCTTCACTTTCGTGAAGTCTCCTCTCGTGTACAGGCGGGAGACCCGAGAAGATATGCTGGCACACTCAAAGGGTTTGCTGATTAGGAGGATGGTTGATGCGGGGATGAGTATTCCGGAAAACAATATCGCTGCACTTCAGCGTGTTAGAGTGGATGCGGAGGAAGTGGTGCGGTACGTTGTTGACAGGCGCCTCAATGATTTGGCCGCTGACATCTGCATCTTAACAAGCCAGGTTCGCGAGTACGGCATAGCAGTAGGGAGAGTTGGAGAGGCGGTCAACCAAATAGCTGGAGCCTCCGCAGGGAGTGATGCGGTAGCCCGCAAACTGCAGCAGGACATCATGGGTATGACGAACCAGTTGGGAGGTCGGGCCGCATGTGGCGCGTCTGTGGCAATGCCGCCGCGCCAGAAAGACAATATGGAGGTTCCCGCTGGAAAGCTGGCGACCATCGGGGAACATGGGGCCGAGGAGAAGTTCACAGGCGTTCGGTTTTGCAAACGGAAGGGTAAGTGGCAAGCTGGGATCGGGCTTGAAGTCCAGAAAACGAAAACCACTCTGTTGGGCAACCGGGAAACTGAGAAGGATGCAGCTGAGGCGTTTGCTGCTGTGGCGGTGGTGTCGCGTCGTGCATCTCGACCACGGGGTCGATTCATTGAGCTTAGCATGAAGGACCGGGCCATTATCGACCCCATGAAGGTTAGTGAAGGCGAGGCGTTTCTTCGTGTCAGGGCCTTGTCAGAATCCCAGTCACTAACCACTGGGATAAAAGGGCTTGTTTGTGTAGCGGGTGAGTGCGCCCATAACCCCCCAGGCCGACGTGCCTGTAACCCTTCCCTAGGATCAATCGGGGATCTCCAGTGGACCTCTGACACCTCCCCGCACTGGGATGCCCGAGGTGCATACACCGGGATTCGAACCCGAGACCTTCGCTCTGATACCATGTCAGAATCCCAGTCACTAACCACTGGGATAAAAGGGCTTGTTTGTGTAGCGGGTGAGTGCGCCCATAACCCCCCAGGCCGACGTGCCTGTAACCCTTCCCTAGGATCAATCGGGGATCTCCAGTGGACCTCTGACAGGCCTGGCACAAGTGGCGGTCCTGGCGCAGTGAGCTGTATCCATCGAGGCAGTTGTCTGGTTATTTTGAGCGTATCTCCCCTCCGCGAAGTGAAGCGCGTGCTGGAGAAGACGCTGCAGTGAGTGTGGGAGTAGCAGGGCAAGAGACTGCTGAGGTGAATGCGGTTGAGGGTGCCGTAGTTGAAAGCAACGAGGACTCTGATGCGTGGGCATTGTTTGAGGGCTGACAACAGTCGTGTGTGGCAATGTCGTTTACTCATGGTCACTGCATTTTCGATTGTTGCCCCATGTCAGCGATCAGTGGTAAGGGCTGACTGCCATCGTGGTTAGGCAAGGGCAATTGTTCGTGTTCACAACTACGGTAGGCTGATCTGCTACTCTTCGTTTAATGACAATGCACATGGCGTGGGTTGCGGCTGTCTCATGGATTCTGGTGAATATTGATGTGACTCTGTCGTGGGACTCTTATGTCTATCTTCTTGGGTTTGCGGGGTACATTTTTTGCCGATTTCTTGATCACTACACAGTGTTCTTAACGTGCTTTGAATGGACGCGTGATAGCGTTCATGCATACAGATTAGAATTAGCGACTTCTAATGAGATGTATTTCACGCTATTTAATGTAAGCTCGCGCGACGACATGAAGGCTCCTGTATGATACTGGGGGCCCGTTGCTGCTCATGATATTTCATCCGGATGCCGCGACTACCGCACGTGCGGAATCATGTAAACCCATGTTTGCAACTTGGATTCCTTAACGGAAACACGTTGTGGTTCGATGGATGTCACTATAGCTAATGAGCTTTCGTGGGGCGCCAACAGTGTTCATGAGATCTCAAGTCCGATGAAACATGTCCGCACGTGCGAATCTCGGGGTTGTCATTTGTCGTCATTATTCAGCATTAGTCGTCAAGGATCTTGGTTTCGTTTAATGGAGTGGTGGTCGCGCACGAACCAATATTGGCGCCGCTTTTCCATGACTTATCATGAATTGAAACCAGCACACCGCCTCCGAATATCAATAGTTTACACGGAGTCTCATGACAACTCGCGTATTTTATTGAATGATCGGTAGGATCCATTTAGAATAACCTGCACATGAGGCTAGTTATGTTTGGTTTCGTGAGTTTCCCAATGTAGTCGTGCAATCCAGCCTTTGAAGAGAGTATGTGCATTGTTTGCGTTGCATAATCCCATCACCCTGGATTGTTTAACTCTTTTTTTTCACCCTAAACCTTAACGCTCACCCCAGTTATGTTTCCCATTAGGGTTTTCCACCACTCCTAGGGTATCCTGGTGTCAAATGAGTCATGCATCTCTCCACTACATGCCCCCAGAAATACTAACCGCCACCCCCCAAAGACTACAGACCATCCCAAGTTCTCTCGCCATCACCGTCCCTCCTTTTATGAACCGTTGGTGCGTTCCCCGTCCCCGTTCATATTCGTCCGGGCTTCGCTTCCACTCTCCCTCCTTCGTTGGATGCTCGTGCCTGCTGGCATTGCAAACCGAACATATACAATGGGAGATTTAATGCATAAAGGGCGGAGCGGCTTATACGCTCTCAGTGATGTCCCCCTTGGCGAGAATACATGTTTAAACAGTACCAATACCGTGGCAGGCTACTCTAATCTTCTTTGTTCAAACATGACTCACACAACGTCCGTCGTACCGTCGGTTGCTCTTTGTGCTACAACTTACCGGAGTGTGGTGCCCAGCCTTAGGTCTGTGGATGACGCCTCCTTGTCTCTGCTCCGTACAGCCCCAAGCAGCGCGACTTGTTGTGGTCGTCCGCCCTGCAGTTGCTGCACCGGTACGTCTTCTTCGGCGCCTGTCCCTCCATGCGCCTGACGGTCCTGGGGCGGCCCCGGTCACAGCGCTTGAACTGGGGTGGCTCGCATACACCCCGCAGTGGCAGCGTCGTCTCTGCGACCAACCGATCCACGCACGAGCCATGGACAACCCCGGAGTACGTCTGACGCAGCGTGGCGGTGGTGTAGAAGTCAGAGACATGGTCCATGTCGGTCGTCTGCATCTCGCGGCAAAACGCCACGACATGCGAGCACGGGAAGGCGTACTCCTTCCAGTTGCCACACTCACAGTGCTTTTTGCCAGGGCGGAGGTCCACGTTGAAAGACCTCCACTCGGCAAAGTCGCGGCTGCCCAACGTCCGCACAGTGCTGTAGCCTGGGCCGCCGATGGTGACCTTGTAATGCTTGCTACGTTCCCGTTTGTCCATGAGCCGCTTCATAGCCTTATCGGTCAGGTACTCTGTCCTCGCTCTCGCACGAGCTCCACGCTCGTACGTCTTCTTACGGTACCAGTCCTAGAGTGCGGCGATCAGGTACACGGGGGGCAGTTGCCGAATGGGGCGGATGGCAGAGTTGACGGACTCGGCCGCGTTGCTGGTGTATATGCCGTAACATGCGGTACGGGCGTAGACCCGTGCCCAATGCTTTGGGTGGATCCCATTGCGGTACTTCGAGCCCGCCTTGTTCTGGTAGAAGCCTGTTCGCGCTCGTGCAGGGCCGTCATCCTCTGCCGGCCTCTGTGGACGAGATGTGGACGGATTGGAGAACCCGTTCTCGTCGGTTGTGAAAAAGTCCAAACCCTCCCCAATGACGTCCTCGTCGGTCCCAGCCTGGAAACCCCCGCCGAGATCAGGCCATGGATGTGTGAGATCTGGTTCGGCAGCAGGCATATCTGCGCCAGGGGCACCCGTCCCAGCTGCGTCGCCTCCGGGTGTCTCGCTGTCGTCCGCCCCCGTTCCTGCCGCAGCAGAAGGCCCTGCTGGATCCGATGGTGGAGGGAGCAAAGCTTGGGTTGTTCCAACTCCATCCGCAGCGTGCCGTCGCCCATGACCTGGGAAATAGTTGTAGCGGGCTGACAGTATAATGTCGTCGATGTCGAACGGCGGGCGGCGTGCCTCCAGGTTAGGGGGGGTCGGGACGACGATGAGGGGGCCCCGAGCTGGACATGGAGCCCTGGTGTCGGGTGCCGCCTCGGTTGCCGCTCCAGCGGGGCCATTACCAGCCTCCCCATCCTCTGCACCGTCATCTCCAGCCGCCCCGTCCCATGCCTGGTCATTCCAAGCAGGCCCATCCTGTGTGTCGTTAAGACCAGCCGCCCCATTCTCTGCTGCGTCATCCGCATCCGCCCCATCCTCTGCATGCACATCACCCGCCGCCCCAGCCGCTGCAGCGTCACTCCCACCATCCACCTCCTCCTTCTCGGCAACCCCTGCCGTCCCATCTGTCGTCGTCCTCCTCGCAGCCCGCCGGTGTGCTGCCTTGCGCTGACGTAGACGCTGGGCCCGTGCACGACGGCTCATACGGGCCCGCAGGCGAATCCGGGCACGCGCCTCCTGGGTTGTCTCTTCTGGGTTGGCGGGGGGCGGCGCGGAAGACCCTACCCCCACGGGCGGTGCACGTGGCCTCTCCTCCTTCCCGAACAGGTAGTCTGCCATTTCAGAGAAGTCCACGCGCGCCTCCCTCAAGAGAGCCTTCCACTTTGGCAACAGGCGGGCCTTCAGCATGCGCCAGAAGAAGTTTTTCACGTCGGTTCCCCACCTCCGGATGTTCTGCTCCAGGTGCCACCCGCAAAAGTAGTGAGGGATGGTGTCGGGGAGAAACTCCTTAGCTGCAGGGACCAAACCCTTGTCCCGGTCGCTGATGATCGCTGCGTTCTCCCGCTCCATCCATTCGGGGAACGTCTTGGTAAAGAGATCTAAGAACTAGGTCCATGAGTCCTTGTTCTCAGACTCTACGAGCGACCAAGCCAGCAGTATGATCCCCTGATTCCCGTCCAGGACAACTGCAATGAGCAGGGAGGCGCGTTGTGCACTTAGAAGAAAGGTGCCATCCAGCGCGATGACGGGTCTGCAGTGCTGCAAAGCTACCCTAGACGCGGAAGGGGAGACAAAAATCCGATGGAAGTGGCCGTTGTACGTGAGGATCTTCTCCACTGATTTTGGGTCAATTGTCTTGAACCGTTTCGCGAGCGTCGGGAACAGTCGTGCCAATCCCTGTACACCTCCGTCTTGATCAGCTCTCGTAGCCTGCATGCAAGATGGATGGCCATGAGACGGTATAAACATCCACTTCCATATGGCCATGTACGACGGTGGGAAAGCATGGCAGATGCATCATGCACAGACGATGGTGAGAAGGGTAGATAAGGGATTGACTAACCTGTACGCTTGATGGTAGTTGACGATGGGGCCTTTGAGAGCGGCAATCTGGGCGCATATTGTCTTGGGTGGCAGAAACGGGTCCGCACGCACGAGATTCCGGTAAAGTCGGTAGAGAACAGCTACCCGGTTTCCCAAGCTCCTCGCACCACGAGCCTTCAGGTCCGGCGGACATGTATGCACGCGACGATCGATAAGGGTTCTGATAACCCACAGGCCAGTATCTCTGTCCTTTCCGTACTCGCAGTACCACTCGCATGCCGGAGTACAACCGATTGCGGTTGCTTTGCAGATAATGAGAGCGTAGTTCTTCCGTACAGTCTCGTGGTAAATCCCGAAACCGTGGAACAATGCGTACTCCTCAACCGCATCAAGGCATCTGTCCCTAGAGGAGTAAACGTTGTTCTCTGCTAAAAAAGCGTCGTCGTCACACTCGGGAAGCTCAGGCTCAAATGCCGGCGCCCCTACCATTTTCTCAATAAGACTTTCGTAATGGCGCCCGCCGTCCATGACCGACGACGCGATGAAACGCACTAACTCTGCTGCCTAAGTGGACTAAGCACAGACTAAGACATTTCGCTAGGTAAACCGTGAACTCGAGATTGTTCCTGGTTGTGAGTGAGAAGTAACGAAACTTGCAGTTGCGGGATGCCTCACACCGGTTCCCGAACGGTCATTAGTTTTCATGACCACGGAATGAGCGCCAAAGTCGGAAACAACGGTTATGGTGAAATGGTGCCGAGCGTGATGCGGAACAACTGTACCTCTTAGCTGGCAAATCTAAACAGTGGATTCGAACCGTATCTGGTAGGTTAGACGAGACAAAAACCGTTGCAACTGTAGCATTGATTCCCCTCCAAAAAAATTCAACGTCGGCCCAATGGAACCGAATGTGCTTAACCAAAATTCACAATTCAAGTGTGGGGAAAATAAAACAAAACGCGCTATGCGCGATCGTTGTGCTGCCACGTGGCGATAATAAAACGAATCTCGCTTCCAAGGATTTGAGCAAAACTCTCGAGGGAGCAGAAGCCTGAAGGGCGTGGATACACGGTTTCCATAACCGCGCTGGTTTTGATTCGAAACGAACTGCGATAGGCCTTGTTCGATTGCACTGTATTCTTTTGTACAGCTCCACCACAGAAAAGCCGAGTCGGCCTAGGGTTTCCGAACCTGGGGTCACTACCTTCCAGATGCAACTTGACTTGGTTTACAATTTTGACATCTGCCCGAACAGCCCAAGTCGCAACAGTCAGAACCGCGTAGTCAAAGGATAAAACAAACTTACACAGTGCGCAATTCAATTGATTTTAGCAAAATCAGACACGAGAATCTGTTACACAAAATTTCAAACCAGCACGTGTTGAACTTTGTAGAAGTCAATGTTGGGTAATTCCAGTGTACCCTCCACCCCAAAAGCGTTTGAAAAGAAAATAATCGACGGCTTTACGGGAAAATTGTATACCAAAAGTTTAAGGGTACAGATATTTTTACACATTTTCTGCCCATAATGTTTACACCTTCACAGTGGCATTGGGGAGGCTGTCGTTGATGCAGCCAGCGGAAACCAAGTACTTCTTGCCCGTGATTACTATTGCTTGACTAGTTGGCAACAGTGTCTGGACCGCGGTTCGCAGCGAAAATTACCGCACCAGATTCGTAGGGGTGCCGAACGTACTTGAGGTTCTGCTTTGGGTCCGCCTAACCTTTCGTGAGGTTTAAAGCCCATGTTTGCTGCTGCCGAGCCTTTACCGAGCCACGCAACACTGTGATAGGGCTGTGGTTACCCCTGGACTGTGAAGCTATCGAACAAGGCCATAGGTTTGGGCTCTTCGCGCCTCGTTGGTTCTCCAGTCCAGGGCTCTGCCTGGCGAGTCGCCTACACAACTTTACCCTGCAGCACCGCACTGGAAACCAGCAGTTGCCTGCCAACATCACGCCAGGCCAACAACGGGCATTTTTGTTACGAGAGAACGGACGCGGCGATGAGGGGATGAGAGAAATCATCTTTACCATCACCTCCTTCACAATTCAGCTTTCTTGGTTTTTCGTTTGGGCAAAGATCATATTGGGCCCGGAAAATAGCAGGGAGGTGTCCAAATTAGGGCCGGGTAAGGCCTGACCGTTCGATACATCCCCGTAGCTGCCCATGTGGCTGGGCCGATTACCCGAACCGAGATTATGAGGAAATTACTAAAATCAAGACGTGTTTCATTCAATATTTTTCTCATACTAAGCTCGCGTCGTATTCCTCTGGAAGTATGTTTCTTCGTGTATTTTTTTAAGAGACACATCACTCAACGTGACAAAAAAAAAAACCCGCTCGGAAACGGATGCGACTCGGGGAGGCATCAACCCTAAACTCCTTGCGGGGTCCCGTGTTTAGGGTTGATCCCTCCCAAAAAGACGTCCGGGTTCGCTAAGGGTTTTAGTTTTTTTTCCTTCCCTAACAGTTACCGGTAGCGTCGTCTAGTGCTTGGTGGCGCTATCGGCGTAAAGTTTCCTCTCAATCAGGCACGACGCGTAAGAACCTCTGACAAGTGAAAACAATTTCACGATTATGGGAATTCCAGTAATTTACTCTAAATGTCTAGGTTCGACTACCCGGCCCTAATTTGGACACACCTCTGCTATTTTCTGGCCCCAATATGATCTTTGCCCTTTTCGTTTTGTTTGTTGGCTCGTGCGATTCAGAGGCGACTGAACTGCATCGCACACATGTAGAGAAAAAGAAAGAGTGGTAAAAAGGCTTGGTGGTGTCGAGCGGAACTGTGCACCGTTACGGTTTCTCTGCAGTTCACAGTACACCGGTTTAGCCGCATCGTCATCATGACTCGACAGTCACATTGGCTGGCGAAGCGTCACGCAGAGAATCGAGCTTCTCCGTGAAGGTGGAGCTCGTCGCGTCACACGCACACCGCGGCAGCAGAAAATGCACTTGCTGCCTATCGACTTCAACTCTCATCATCCACATGTCGCACATGCTCTCGTCTCGTACTACTACTAGGCACCACCTTCATTGTTGTCCGCATGGCTTGTATGCCGTGGCAAGTCGTATCCTAGACTTTTCCAGTCTTGTCTTCTCCCATCCATGATGAGTCGACGAGGAGCAGCGTCGCCCGGCGAGCCCCGAATTCGTCCGCGCGGCCGTGACCGCCGCGCGAGTCGCAGTCGCCGGTGCGGGCCGCGCTGAGATATGGCGGCCGCACATGTCGCACGCGAGGCCCCCTCTCTGTTTGCAAGAATGTCAGCCTGTCCACTGCACTGGAGGAGGCTGGAGGTTGGGCTTTCGACTCGAAAATGTCAGCCTGCCGTTGGCGCTGTGTCTTGTTTATCTACAGCTTTCTAACAAGCAAGCACGTTCGTGCTAGTCGTTTGCGAGCAAAGCGCAAGAGACGGCGAAACGGCGAAATGGTTCAGCTGAACCTACCAATTTTGAGAACGAGTCGTTCTTTTCCCCACCCCCGTCGTCCTGCAAGGAGATACAATCTGCCAGTCTAGGCGATTGCACCGCCAAACCCTACTATCATCTCGAAGACACCATAACCTCCAAGTCGAGTCAGATTTTAAGATGCTGAGAATTTCTCTAGTCGTGTGATGTCACTGCGCTGTTTAGTCCTCCAAGCCCCCCCACGTTTCGCTCCACGAGTGCACTTATTGTAACGCAGGCTCAGCCTTTCCGTGGCTGCCTGAGCAAAGCAGCCGTGACAGCAGCTTTGAGCATTCTCAGACGTGAATTCGGCCGCAAGCGCAGCCGTGGCACCACCAGCCAATGCGTCACCAACGTCCGTCTTCACGAGCCCTTCACCTCAACCACTATTCCAGTCGTTGCTCAGCTTAGCGCACCTCCAAAGGAAGGAAGATCTGTCCGGAGAGTGATGGGCGAGCGAGACCGGCGCAGCTTCTCCTTCTCCTTCCCTCCGCCGCTGCTGCACCTCCGCCTGCCGCTGCTGCTGCTGGCGGGGCTGCTTCTGCTGCCGCCGTGCCCTGCTGCCGCCACTCGCATCAACCACGCCCAAGGTCGCTCGCTCCCCCTTACCTGCACCTCTCCTCGCCTCTCACTCTCCCTCCCTCACTCTACTCGATGCGCCCTCCTTGATATCCCCACAATAACCCATCCACAGTCTCCTCCCTTGCCGCTAATTTGCCCGCTCTCCCTCCAGTTCTATCTTCTCCCTCTCTCTCTTTTATTCTTCCACTCCCCAACCTCCCCCGCTGCTCTTTTCCCCCTTCGTCCCGCCCTCCTCCCGTCATGCCTCGCACCACACCACAACGCCTAACTTGACAAACGTACACGTTAAGCTTTCCTGTTTTCCATCCACACTCATAAACATGCAGTGCACTTTCAGCGCCCAACTCAACCTTCTCCACTCTCTCCCCCATCCCTCCTCCCCTCCCCCATCCCCCACCCCACTCCTTCCCCCTCCCCCCCCCCCCCCCCTCCCCCCCCCCCCTCCTCCCTGCCTCGCCCCTGCCTTACCCATGTCTCCCCGTTGCCTTGCCCCCCCTTTGCCTCTCCCCTCCGTCCCTCTCCCCCCTGCAACCCCGCTTCCTCCCCTCTGCTGCGCTCCCACTCCCTCCTCCTTGCCTCGCCTCTCCCTCCCTTCTGCCTCGCCCATCCTACCCCCTCTTCTCCTCCCTCCTGCCTCACCCCTCCCTCCCCCTTCCTCCCCCGCCCTTCCCCCGCTGTGCCCCCTGTCTCCACCTCCCTCCCTCCTGCCTTCCCCTCTCCTCTCCCCTCCCCTCCCCACTCCCTTCAAATTCCCTCCCCCCGTGCTCCCCCCTGCTCCCCCCCTGCCTCTTTCCTGCTTCCGCACTCGCCTCCCCTCTGCCCGTACCTGGCAGCGCGGGTGCTGGCGGAGTGCGCTGCAGCATGGGGCTTGTCGCTGAGCAAGTGGCGGGTGGGGGGCGACTGTGGCCCGACACAATTCATTGCATGCGATGAGAACGGGCTCGTCACTACCATGTGCGTGCCCCACGTGGGAAGGAAGGGACGTGGGGAAAAGGGAGGGAGGGAGGGAGGGAGGGAGAGTATGGGGGGAGTGGGCGAACAGCAGGGTAGTTCTGGCGGCATTGGAGGGTGGCGGGAGAGAGAGGGCGCTGTGGCCCACATAGGCACTGACTGCTGTCAGAGTGCTGTGACTGTGCTTCACTCTTCTGCTGCTTCTGTGCCTCTGTCTGTGTGTGTTTCTTTCTCTGTGTGTGTGTGTGTGCGCGCGCCGTGCGCGCGCCCGCGTGCGCGCGTGTGTGTGACTTGCTTGTTTGTTTGTGTGCATTTGTGGCCTCAACACAACAGGTGGATGGGAATGCATGGGCTACGTGGCTCCATCCCAACAGCTCTTGGGACTCTCACCTCTCTCACCTACCTGTACGCCACTCGTCTCTCTGCACACCTCTCTCACCACCAAATTTTATATCCCTATGCCTCTCCAAAGCGAGTCTTACATGCATGCACTTTGCAGCGCCTCAATGCTCTCACCACTCTCTAACCTCTTGTGCCGCTCTACACCTCATCACTGCATTCTTTTCCGTAGCCCCTACGGCCTCTCCTGTAGGCCCACTGCAATCATCTACCCCTCTCCTTTCCTCCCTCTCCTCTCCTCCCTCTACCTGCACGCACTCCATTGATTGCATTCAATCGCTGAGTGGGTGTTGACAGACGTATTGAGGCTACTTCTGTACCCATTCCAGGCACTGATTATCCATCTCTTTATTCTCGTGTCTCAACCCATCCTCACTTGCTGCCACTTCCCATCCCACCTCGCTGTACCATGCTGCAACGCCCTAACCTTTTTTTAGGCCCCCTCTCCAAACTTGTGTATTTCCAGTCCTTTCCAGCCCTTTCCATGCACCACTGCAACCTCTCTTCGTGCTGCAATGCCCAGGAGGGCTCTGCAGCAACCCTTTCAGGCGCCTCACCAACCGTATCCCTCCCTCCCTCTGTCCTCTTCCTTCTCCCCCGCCCCCCTCACTGCTGCCCCATCCCGCTTTCCGTGTGCTGCGCTGCAACCGGCGCAGAATATTGTGCTGCAACGACCTGGAGGGCTCCATTCCTGCATCCTTTAGCGCGCTCACTGGACTTGTCTACCTGTGAGAGACAGGGAGACATGCGTAGAACGGTGGGAGGGAGGGAGGGAGGGAGTGAGGGGGGGAGGGAGGGAGAGGGAGGCGGAGGGAGGGAGGGGAAGGGTGAGGGATTGGGGGGTTGAGGGAGGGAGTGGGTGAGGAAAAAGTGGGGGAAGGGTGACCGGGGGGAATGGGGGATGAGGGAAGGGGAGGGAGGGAGGGAGGGAAGCAGCATCAATTGCTGTCCCGGTCGCCATCATCACTGTTAAACACCATACCGCTGATGGCACCTGGAGGGCAGCGGGCCTCCCTGAGTGGGCGCTTCCCACACAGGCGTAGGGGGACTCCCCTCCCCAAGAAGTCTCTCCTGCCGCATCAGAAATTTCAACACAGGCAGCTCACGGCCTCTAAGCAAAGGTGCCCCCTGAGCTCGTGTGAGCTCTCTAGGATCACGTGAAGCACGTGTTGGTGCTGGCACTCCTCCTGCAGCCACAGCTGCCGCAGGGCCTCCGTGCCAGCCAAAAGGCAGTGAGGAAGTTGCTGCACCGTCGCCGCTCTTCCTCATGCCCCCGCAGAGCCAGCTTCCTTAGCGGGTTTCAGGCCTCAACAGCAACCCTTTGTTGGAACCGGCTTCCTCATGCCTCAGGAGAACGGCAAGCAGGGGAACGACGACCAGGAGAAGGGCGCGACGGAGAGAGACGGCTACGGCCTTACTCACCAGGGTCGGCGGGCCTCCCAATGCAGAATGGAGGCGCACTCTCCTCCTAAAGCTTCAAGTTGGGTCATGACCAGTCGGCTCGTCATGTTTGGGCCGGGTCGGCCCGTCCCGACAGATCGGTCCGACCTAAAATTTTTGACCAAATTCGGATCTAGAGTCAAATTTTCGCTCACTCTCTCTCTTTTCCTCTCTCCCTCTCTCCCCCTCTCCATCTCTTGCCATCTGATTGGCAGTGATTTGGAGTCCAACGCCCTGAGCGATTCCATTCCAGATGTCATCTCGCACATGACCGCTCTTAGAGGCCTGTGCGTGCCGTTCCATTAGCTCCTCACCCTTCAGACAATTCTTGGAAATTATTCAATTCGCACCTCCCATCACCCGCGCATGCTTTGTGCAAATGCACCTGCATTGGACGTGCTTCCATGTGTCACCTCACCTCTTCTCACATCACACTGTCGCCTCCCATGCCTCATGACTCAAGACCGTCTCATGGTTTTGGCATGGTTATACCTGTCCATGTGTCTTCAGAGCCCACACCAGCACCTTTCAGCGCGCAACCTCCTCATTTCACTCTCATGCCGCCCTCGCATGTCTCACTCCCATGGCTTGTCACACTCCCATGCTACCACCATGCCTCCCCACGTATCATGTCAATGCCCCAACAGCCCTCCATCTCCCATGGCCTGTATGTCCCCATTGCAGCTTTCTCTCCAACAACCAGCTGTCTGGTGCCATTCCCCCCGCCATAGGCGCCCTCACGGCCCTCGAAACCCTGTAAGTCGGCCAGTCATTGGCAACCAAGCAGCCATGCAGATTTCATTAGGCGCCTAAAAAATGTTTCAGTTCAAATAGTTTTTACGTGGGCAAAATTCTATTGCGTGGAGGTTTTCATGTGACTTGCAAAAGCTTTTGGTGTGGAGAAAGTTATCAAGGTATATCGACAGTCTTGACGAAGGCGTGTCTGAAGGTTGACACTTGTAACCATGGGTTATTAGCCTTGGGTGTATTGGCGAATGCACATTGACTAGCAAATGGGTTGTGGATTCTTGAGATTTATTCGCGGTGTGGATTTGTTTTAGCTCACACCATGCAGTAGATCTCGATTCTCCAGAAGCACTGGTGAAGGCTTGACAGGTGTTTCTGCCCCTTGCCGAAACATCCTTTACTTCAAGGTGTTGCTCTGGTTCTCCCCCCCCCCCCCACCGCCCCCCTTCTCTCTTCCAGTACCACTGTTGCCCTTCCAACCATGAGTGACGACAAAGCAACAGATGCCTCCCTTGCGTGTCTAGCTCCGAGTCACGTCCGAGTCTGGCACGCCTCACCTCAATGCCATGCCTCACTCATACGCTGTTGTTATACCCTTCCACATATCTTATCAACACCCAATGACCCTCCATCTTTCATGGCCCGAATGTCTCCATCGCAGCTATCTCGCCGACAACCAGCTCTCTGCTGCCATTCCCCCCGCCATAAGCGCCCTCACGGGCCTCAAAAGGCTGTAAGTGTGCCAGTCATCGGCAACCAAGCAGCCGTGGAAGACTAGGCAATCCATGCCTCTTTCCCATGCCATGTCTCACTCCCATACCGTCACCAAATCTGTTGAGAAAACTGTCGAACACGGCAATGTTTGAACATTTCAGTTTTCGGTTTGCGTCTAACCAAATTTGTCCGACTTGACCCAATGTCTGATTGATGTCCCTGCTTGACCCGATACCCACCCGGCTGGGAACGCACGGGCTGTTGTGATTGTAGTTATTGTGCTGAAATATAAGCAGATTCTGTCTCCTAGCCCACCTCCCTAACCTGCAAGAGTATTCTGGTGCTTGGTTCCCTGAATGCCGTCACGTTCCTTCTATTTACGGTAAACGGTAGTTGAAGGGTGGAAAAAGTGATTCAACCCTAAACTGGACATGTAAATATCGCAACTAGGGAAAGGTATTCACGTAACAACGTAAAACTTCCTAGGAGTTTCTGGTGGGGTCCGTGTGTGAATTGCTCCTCTAACCATTTACAAGGTTTGATGAATTCGAGCCAGGTGAGAGAGTGATGAATTTGGACACAACCAGTGTGGTCCTTCCAGTGTAGGTCAGGTGGGTGTTGGCGAGAACCCAGCAGCAACGCGTGTGCATACGAACATTACCCATTCCGAGGTATCGTGTCGACCCGACCCGGCCGGGTCGAGGGCGTCTGCATCCTGAACCAGAACGGCGAAAATTCGGCCCGACCCGACCGGGCTGTATGGGTGCCTAGGTCAAGTACGGGTCGGGTCGGGCCGGGACCCAGAGGAGAGTTGGGCTTATGTGTTCGGGAAAACTGTGAACTGAGGGCGGGTTGACCCGAAGTCGCTTCGGGTCGAACAGCCCGCGTGAATCCGCGATTCCCCCTCCCCCCAAAATCTACGCCCCTCCCGCTAGCTCTTAAAGCCGGTAATTCAAACCATGACCCCATGACGGGTGGGATTGACCCGTCCCAACAGGTCGCCTTGACCCAAAGTTTATCCATAGTTTCTGATCACCGGTCGACCCGACCAAACCGGGCAGTCCCGACCCGACCCGGCCAGGTCGAGGAACCCTAGACGTCCTACCCGACCGGGTAAATTGCTGATGCCCATGTCAATGTAGTACCCCCATGGCCCATCTCCCATGGCCCGCATGTCCCCGTTGCAGCAATCTCAACAACAACCAGCTGTCTGGTGCCATTCCCCCCGCCATAGGCGCCCTCACATCCCTTGAATACCTGTAAGTGTGCCAGTCATTGGGAACCGAGGGTCAGGCTACCCATGCCTCCTCCAATGCCATGTCTCACTCCCATGCCATCACGATACCCCCCACGTGTCATGCCAATGCCCCCATGGCTCCCTCCATCTCCCATGGCCCGCATGTCCCCATCACAGCCATCTCTCCAACAACCAGCTGTCTGGTGCCATTCCCCCCGAAATAGGCACCCTCACATCCCTGCACTATCTGTAAGTGTGCCATTTGTTCACAAAGCTAGTAGCCATAGATAAAGTCACTCAACTCAAGGGCTACAGTTTTAGAGAAAACGCTTTAATACAAAACATCTGAAGGAAATGCCTACCCGAGTTAAAGGAAATCGATCGAAAGCCGTGTCACCCGAGGAAATCAGTATTTTAACATGTTCCGGTCAGGTGAAGACAATTGAGATATACAGTTATGAGTTGATTACTATTAAGTACCAACCCACACCGCAAATAAGTCTCACGAATTTCAACAACCCCGATTGCCTATCAATGAGCATTCACCAAGACACGCAAGGGAAAAACTCAGCTGACATTCACAAGTGTCGACCTTCAAAACGCGTCTTTGTCAGGACCGTTGGTGAGCCTTGGTAACATCGCACCCCATGGAATCTCGCAATTCACATGCACACCTCCATGCAATAACATTCTTCCCCATGTAAAAACCATGTGAACTGAAACGATTTTATAGTCGCCCCGACAAACATACATGACTGTAGTGTTTGCTGCTTAGAAAGGCAATGTTGCCATCGTGTCTGCTTGCGTTGGTCCTCAGGTAGTGGTCCGGTTGGATCTGCTTTTCGTGCCTTTTCCCCTCCTCCTCTCCCCCGCATCTCACGTTGTAACTCTGTGCGGACATGTAATCACTCACTCCCCCTTGCAGCTTCCTCGCGCACAACATGCTCACAGACAGCATTCTCACGGAAATGGGCAGCTTGGTGATGCTTCAGTACCTGTCAGTGCCATGACCATCTCTCTCCCTTGCATTGCCCGCCTGCCACTCCAGTCCACACCACACTCTGCTGCAACTCTCCACTCACATGGTCTTGTTCAGCATGCATGCATGCATATGCTCTCGTATGCCCTGTGCTTTCTCATTCCCTGTGCCATCCACGCCTCTCTCACACCCCCTGCTGTAGCTTTGCACTCCGATCATTCTCCACCCACATTCCTTTTTTTTTTTCCGCCCATCACAGCTACCTGGACGACAACAAGCTGCGAGGCTCCATCCCTGACGCGCTGAGTATCCTCTCCAGCCTGATCTCTCTGTCAGTTGCTCGCCCCCTCCCACTCCCTCCCTGCCTCCCAGCCCCTTGACTGCCCTTCCCTTGGGCTCATGTCACAGCTGTGCATCCCTCATCCCTCTCTCTCCATCGTGCTCCCTCCTGCAACCATGCCTGCGTAGCAAGAATAAACCGCCTGGCACCTTTCTTTCATCCATTCCTCCACTGAAGCGAGAGTTAACCTCTGTGCCTGCACATCACTCTCTCCCCCTCCCACAATGCACTCAGAACCTGTGTCAAGTTTCAACTCACTTCATATCTCCAGACTCCAGCTCCTTTTTAGTCCTTCAAATTCGATCTAGAGCTAACCTGTGATGTCTGAGGCGCTCAAAATTTATCACAGCTAGTGTGTGACTGTGTTCACTCCACGCTGTATGCTGCTCGCAGGTCCATGGCCAACAATGAGCTGGAAGGGACGATCCCTGACTTTCTATCGTCCTTCACTACACTCACCCAACTGTCAGTGTTCCCACATACCACCTGTCAAGGCTTAGCCAGCACAATTGCTGTCGTGAGCGTCAACCCCTCTATTTCGCAGCCCCCCAATCAGATTTCGTGCGTCCCTCTCCCCATCTTCCCTCTCAATCCCTCCCTCCCTCCCTCCCTCCCTCCCTCCCTCCCTCCCTCCCTCCCTCCCTCCCTCCCTCCCTCTCTCCCTCCCTCCCTCCCTCCCTCCCTCCCTCCCTCCCTCCCTCCCTCCCTCCCTCCCTCCCTCCCTCCCTCCCTCCCTCCCTCCCTCCCTCCCTCCCTCCCTCCTCCCTCCCTCCCTCCCTCCCTCCCTCCCTCCCTCCCTCCCTCCCTCCCTCCCTCCCTCCCTCCCTCCCTCCCTCCCTCCCTCCCTCCCTCTCTCCCTCCCTCCCTCCCTCCCTCCCTCCCTCCCTCCCTCCCTCCCTCCCTCCCTCTCTCCATCCTCCCTCCCTCCCTCCCTCCCTCCCTCCCTCCCTCCCTCCCTCCCTCCCTCCCTCCCTCCCTCCCTCCCTCCCTCCCTCCCTCCCTCCCTCCCTCCCTCCCTTCCTCCCTCTCTCTCTCGATCTCTCCCTCCCTCTATCCCTCCTCACTCGCTCCCTCTCTTTGTCCCTCCCTCCCTCCCTCACTTTTCACACACTTGCTCGCTGTTCAGTCGCATCTCAATACCGCACTCCAGCTCTCCATACCACTTACCACGACACATCCCCTCTTCCCGTCTCTCCTCTTTTCTGAACCCTTCCCACTCTTCCTCCTCGCCCAGTGTGCTATCCAACAACACGCTAACAGGAGTCATACCCTCTTCGATACGCGCCCTGACGAACCTTTATGACCTGTGAGGGAAAGGAGGGGGACGAGCGAGTGAGAGTCCAAGGGGTGGTGAGAGGTGTGCAGATCACTGGTTACCACGCTGATGTCTTTACGAGAGAGAGTGAAAGAGATCGTTAGCACATGAATGTCCGAGAGGTGGTTGCCACATCGCCCGTCCTCATGTGAGTTTTTGAGAAACTGCAAAAACACTTATTCCGTTGTGCACATAGCTTCCTCTCGCCATGCTGTTCTCATGCAAAAACACGGATGCCTCAATAGCTCGATTGTTATCATGCCATGCCATGCCTCCTTATCTCTCCATAAATGCCATGCCATTCACCCCATCCCACCTTATACTTCCAGCTACCTGAACGACAACAAGCTTGAGGGGTCCATTCCAACCACCATTGCTTTGCTGCAGCAGCTCTCATGGCTGTATGAAACAAACCTCAATGCCCAACTATTACTTCCATGTTGCATAGGCATGCAATGTTGCAGGTGGTCTTGCTTTTTGTTTGGCATGTACGTGCATCGCTGTTCGTTACTGTATATATCTGAGTCCCTTAGAAAACTCTTAAAAGAAAGAATCATTCTTCATATGCTTCCCACACACTCTGCATGCCCTCACTACGCATTCACCACGCCTTCACCACGCCTTCACCACGCCTCACATTCACCACTTTCCTCCTGCTCCTCTCATCGCACACCTGCCCCTCTCTCCTCGCCCCATCTATCCTCCAGTTCCCTTTCCCACAACTCTCTCACTGGCAGCCTCGACGACCTCTCCCCGCTGTCCTATCTGCGCGGACTGTATGTGAAATTGCTCCTGTTCTCTATGTGCCACCGCGCATCTACTCTCCCTCACACCTCTCTACCTACCCCTTTCCTCTCTCCTCCCTTCAAAATTCTCCCTCGAATACTTGTTCCCAGTTTATCCCTTCACCCCCCACCCTTCCCCGCCATCTTCCCCCTTCTCCGCACTCTTGCCACTGCATCCATCTGCACCGCACACCACCCAGGGAGCTTTCCAGCAACGCCATATCCGGCCCAATCCCCACCACCCTAGGGGAGCTCTTCGCCTTGCAAACCCTGTGAGCTATGCGATCCGTGCAGTGTGTGTGAGAGAGATTGCAATCATGCGATGTGCATGTGGGTGCACTGTCTGTGTCTGCCAGTGCAACGCCGGAGTGGTGCACTGCAATATGGGAGTGGCAGCTATGCTCTGTGGTGTGTGAGGGATGCGCGTGCAGTGAGGCTGCTGCAGCAGCCCCAAAAGTCAAGTGAGGCTGCTGTGGTGAAAGCTGATGTTTCCTGCCTGCTATCCCTTTTGGGGCGATGCACCCTTTGTCTGTTATTCCCCCCACTCATTGCCTTCTCTCGCCCTCTCTCGCCCACCCCAACGGTCCCTCCCTTCAGGGATCTCTCAAACAACAACCTGTCAGGCGCCATCCCGCCTTCCATCTCCGGCCTTCTCAGCCTCACTGCTCTGTATGTGCTTGAATCCCTCCCGTGCCCTCATCTCTCCTTCCCATGCTCTCATCTCTCGCTCCCATGCCCACATCGGCCTCGTTTCCCTCCTCTTTTCCATCTGCCCGGCTCCCTCCTCTTGCACCTCTCTATCATCTCCGCCCCCCTTCCCCCTTTCCCTCTTGTGCCAGGAAGCTCGGCAGCAACGCATTGGAATCGCCTATCCCCCAAGGCTTGACTGCACTGAGCGACTTATATTTCTTGTGAGCTCATCTCCGTTACTTGAGGCCAGGTCACGGTTGCAGAACTTGAGATCGCAGCTGCAGAACCCTCACAGGTGTTCCCATCAACTCATTAAGAGGAGAGTCGGGCTCCGGTACTTATACTTTCGAAGCCCCTCCCCTCAGGGGGCATGTTGCGTGCGTGCGTGTGAGGCATGGATGATATTGGGAATGGGGGTGTGTGGGTACGGGGCGACCGTGAGAGTGGCAACTCTGTAATATGGGAAGGATATTTACATTTGGCAATGTTTCCCAAGGGTAGTTTAATATTATTCCACGGCTGGAGGATTCAATTCTAGCATGGAAGCCCCTATTCTCGGTACCAACCTTCACTACCAATAGGTTGGGGAGATTGCATGTGCTGCTTACGAATGCGAATCAATTCCACTCGCTTATGCCTCAATCTCTTCTGCTCTCGCTCCCCATCTCCGCCATCCCCTTCTATCCTCTGTCTGTCTCCCTCGAGAACGCCAGGGACCTGAGCAAGAATATGTTCTCGGAGGACTTCCCACCTATCTTCACCCAAATGAAACAAGTGCAGCACATGTGAGCGCACGAGTGCATGTGAGCACATGAGTGCATGCGAGCACATGAGTGCATGCGAGCACATGAGTGCATGCGAGCACATGAGTGCATGCGAGCACATGAGTGCATGCGAGCACATGAGTGCATGCGAGCACATGAGTGCATGCGAGCACATGAGTGCATGCGAGCACATGAGTGCATGCGAGCACATGAGTGCATGCGAGCACCTTGGTTACTCGTTTGAGCTGCGGGCATGGGATTACGTGAGCTAATGAGCATATGAGCGCGTGAGAGTGTGAGAATGTGTGTGCATGGGCATGTATGGATCCACGTCATGCGGATTCCATTACCACAGGAGGCTGAGTGTTGAGACGTCCCACATCACCTCATCTCCTCCCCTCCCCTCCCCTCTCCCCCCTTCCCCTCCCCTCCCCTCCCCTCCCCTCCTCCACCACCCATATCTTCACAGGAAGCTGAGCCACAATAACTTCACAGGCAGCATTCCTGCCTCCATCACCACTCTCGTTTCCCTCACCTACCTGTACTCCTCCTTCTCTCACCCGCCTGTTCACGTCACCCACACATGCACCTGCGGGTTTTTTCCTGATTTCACCTTATCCAATTAGCCCCTCCTAGCATGTTGTGCTCAAACCCATGAAGCTCTCTTTCTAGCTAATTTATCAAAATATAAGAGTCCCACGGGCAATCCTTGGTTACGCTCCTGCTTCAAGGGCCTTTTTTCTCTCTCCCTCTCCCTCACCTCTGATTCTCGCTTCCTCCAGTGATCTAGGCTACACATTGCTGGCCGGCACAATCCCCACTGCCATCACCAAAATGCAACACCTCTCTCGCCTGTAATCTTGACTCGGCATGGCAAATAGCAAGTTGGACCGTTGCGTTCCGGAAGGAATAAGATGCATGTGCATTGCACTCGTGAACATTCGATGCTCATTTGAGAATCAAAACGCATCTCCCTTTCTTCCTTGAACAGGGCCTCTTCTCTTTTGTTGGCCCTAGTTCCCTTCACGTCTCTCACTCTTTGTTACCATGCTGATCTTTTTCTCCCCCTTCTTTGCCATCTTGTCTTGTCGATTGCCCCTTCTCCTCCTCCCTGAATGGCACCATCCTCTTATGATTCTCCCTTGCTGCACCATGCCAGCGCCACCAACCAAGCATCATCCCACACGCCTCCGGGCAAACCATCATGCATGATCAACACTCACTCAGTTTACCTTTGGATACCAGCACTCACCTTTTGTTGCCATAATGGTATCTTTTGCCCCTTTTTTGTTGCCCTCTTCTCATTCTCATGGCATGTTTTCCTGAATGCGACCATGCATCATCCCACACGCCACCTTGCACACCACCACGCATGGTCAACCCTCATTCAGTGACCTTCGCATACCAACACTCACGGGCTCCATCCCGGCCTCCATGGGCGCCATGCTCAATCTGCAGTACCTGTCAGTCACCCGCTCCTCTCTCTATTCTCAATTCTGCAGTACCTGTCAGCCGCCTCAGTTACCTCTGCGGGGTTTTTGTTTACATTATATCAATGTGCCTCATCCCCCCCCCAGCCAAAAAAAAAAACAGTTAAGAAAAATGAGCAACCAAACAAACGAACCTGTGAACCGTCCCTCTCTTCTTCCCCTTCATCTGTTACCCTGTCTTCCGCATCCCATCATACATGGCCCCAAGTCATAGGCAGCCCCTCTTCTTCCCTATTCTGCAGTACCTGCACCGCACCTCCACTACTGCTCCTTCTCTTGAGCCCTTCAGCATGCAACCACTGCTTAGCTTCCTCTTGCTGTTTCATGCCTCTTGCTGTTTCATGTTCCCCTCCTTGAAGATCACTCAACCTAACGTCTGCTTAGACCCTACCCACTAGCTTCTCTCTCAACCTCCCGCTTCGCGGTCTTCTCTGTCTCACAGCTATGTCAACTATGAGGTGACGCCATGCGGTTACGGGGAGTGCGAGGTGGTGCAGTACTCCGGCACAGCCTTCTGCCGTGCCTGCACTGACTTCTGCGACTCGTGTGATCGCAAGGGTAAGGAGGAGGTTTTGAGTTAAGACTTCATGCAACATCGCACAAAGATTTCACCATGTTAGAATGTCATTTGTGTGTTGGGGAGTGTGAGAATGAGGGCGCAGGGGAAGTATGTGGGAGGAGCATCAAGAAGGATGCGAGGAGGGAGAGTCGGAAGGTGGGAGGTGCGAGCAAGTGTTGGAGGAATGTTCTTGAGGCGCTATAAAAGGGGTCTCAGATTTGAGGCGCCATGTTAAAGAAAGGATATGTCTGAGAGGTCTATGCTTCATAGACACAGCACTTGAGTTGAGCTCGTTTGAGTTGACTTGAATGAGCGAATGTGGAGGAGAGAGCATGGTCGGGAGAGGGAATGCTGGCTGGGATGGAGGGGGAGTCGTACAGGGTGAGTAGTACAGGGTGAGTAGTACAGGGTGAGTAGTACAGGGTGAGTATACAGGGTGATTAGTACAGGGTGAGTAGTACAGGGTGAGTAGAACAGGGTGAGTAGTACAGGGTGAGTAGTACAGGGTGAGTAGTACAGGGTAGGAACCGTGAAGCGTGCATGCAAGTACACAGCATACCGCTGCACCCACCTGCATGCTCGCCTGAGTATGTGTGTGCTCGTCCTTGCATACGCCTAGTTTATCACACATGCACACACATATTCGGCCCCACACATCCACTCACATCACACCCAATTTGTTCTCCCCTCCCATCCTCCTGCCCTGCCAACAGCCCCCAACCCTCCAAAGTGTCGGAAGAAGCGCCGTGCCTGCTCACTCAAGTCATGCCCGGGCCGCATCTGCATTCCCTTCGTCCGCAGCTGCAAGGGCTACAAGTGCATCTGATGAGCACGCATCCATGGGCATGGCCATGCACGCTACGCATGCTCTTTCCTGTTGAAGATGTAAACGTTACATCATAGTATGCTGTTAGAATCTAATGTTGTGTTCCCCCTTATACCATAATCTCCCGGTTACAAGCCCCCTCGTCCATCTCCCCTCCCTTCCTCCCCCTCAACATTTCTTTTAGGAACCAAGGGGAGGGGCTCTTTTCCGGAGATGGGGTCTTTTAGATGTGGTAGTCCTCATGGGGACTTGGATTTTTTTATTAGTGCTTTTACCCCCACCCCCCCCCCCCCCCCCCCCCCCCCCTTCCCCTCCAACACCCCCTCTCCCTTTCGCCCCCTTCCCCTCCACCTTTTTTTTTCAGTGTGAGTGCATGTTTTATCATTCTAAAACCAATATTCATTTTTTTTAATTAGATTGTTATGCAATTGCAAAATGCTATTATTCACTATCGGAGCTCTGAATAATAAGGTTCTCTACATGCTTGTCAAATGATATTTTATGCGTTGTTAGTACAATTATACGTTGCTAGTACCGTAAAGTGCCACTTATAGGACCCGGGGGACTCTCTACAAATGCTCTAAAAAGTGTTAGGGTGGACATGATGGCGGATGCAAATTTTTAAGACTCGGGCTACACTTATTCATCTATTAACTATATTGGATTTACCATGTACCAGCTCGTTGCAGGTGGGGGGGGGGGGGGGGGGGAGGGGTTTTTTTTTTTTTTTTACGATGGAATCTTTCGCTAGGTGCATAACGCGCGCGTCATCGGGAATGACACGCGGCGAGATTCAGAGCACGGCGGCGGACTGAACGGCGTTTGCCCCGCACCGCACATCATCTTGACGGTGTTTCCCGTCAAGATGGGCACACCAGGTGGCCGACCACCCCATCTTGTCACTGTGGCAGAATGGGCACTGGACGTGAAGCACTATTGTTTCACGTCCCTCACTCTGTCGTGTCAAAGGTCCACTGGTGATCCCCGATTGATCCTAGGGAAGGGTTACAGGCACGTTGGCCTGGGGGGTTATGGGCGCACTCACCCGCTATACAAACAAGCCTTTTTATCCCAGTGGTTAGTGGCTGGGATTCTGACATACTATTAGAGCAAAGGTCTCGGGTTCAAATCCCGGTGTGTGCACCTCGGGCATCCCAGTGCAGGGGGGTGTCAGAGGTCCACTGGTGATCCCCGATTGATCCTAGGGAAGGGTTACAGGCACGTTGGCCTGGGGGGTTATGGGCGCACTCACCCGCTATACAAACAAGCCCTTTTATCCCAGTGGTTAGTGGCTGGGATTCTGACATGCTGAGCACGCTAGCTTTCATCCCCTCCGTTTCCCTGATTCAGATCTTGCCAGGCCCGCTTGCTTCCTTCCCATCTAAATAGCCAGCCATGGTGCCTGCCACTTAGAGAACCAGAAGTCATTAGAACTGTATCAGCTCCTCGCCATGTTGGCTTTCGAAAGCCCATGGCGTTCACGCCGTGCTCCTGTAGGCAGTGGTCAGCCCGCAATCATACTAATTACTAGCCCGGCCCCGCCAGCTCCTCCAGCACCTCCCGCACCTCCCGCACCCCCTGGGCCTCCGGCGCCACCTGCGCCTCCTGTGCTTCCCCCGAGCTTTGTCGACTGGCGCACCACACCTCCGTTGGACCCGCTCGAGGAGGAGGGGTTTCCCGAACCTGTCGCCGAGGATGCCGAGAACGATAACTTGGAAAACGACGTCGGGGATTTCCCGATCCCGACGTTCCCAGATGACTTGATCCACGACGAGAACGGGCCTCGCTCCAACGTTGACGGTGCTCCAACACAACATAGCGCCCGCAAGACTACCCACCGACGCACGGCTCGAACCATGGGTGAGAGGTAGGAATGGCTCGTGTGAATGGAGGAGGAGAAGCTCTCCGTCCGCGCCACTGCACGACTCGCCGGGGTGCAGCCTGTCAGCGTCCGCCGGTGGATAAGGGAGGCGGATCGGATTAAGAAGGCAGCACCATCCAGGCACCGACTGAGTGGTGGAGGGCGAAAGGCGAAATATCCCGACATGGAGGCGCACGCCTAGAAGCGGATTTTGAACTTCCGCGGACGGGCTTTGGCCGTGCCTATTCGTCTCATCAAGCACTGGAGCCGGTGCTACATGAAGACGCATTACCCTGATGTGAGGTGGCAGGCGTCCAACAGGTGGACGTTTCGCTTCCGCCAGCGTTTGGGCCTCTCTATCCGCGTAAAGACGAAGAAGGGTCAGCGTATGGCCGCGGGTGGGTTATTCTTGTGCATCCTTCCGTGTGTGTGCGTCTACTGTTTGCTCACAAGCATGTTACACTCATAATTTACCACACCGCCGACACTAATGTCCTTCTCCCGCTTTTTGGTCGTCCGTGGCAGAGTGCAAGCCGAAGTGTGAGAAGTTCTGGAAGTTCACGAGGAGGAATGTCATTAAGCATGGCATCGACACATGGAACATTATAAACCCCGATCAGACGCCCGTGTTCCTGGAGATGCCGCACGAGCGTACCCTGCATCACCGCGGAGAGAAGACGTTGCATGTCAGGAGCGCAGGCTACGAGAAGGACAGGGTGACTGTCATGCTCGGGATCACCGCGGACGGGCGCAAGCTTCCCGACATGGTTATTCTCAAGCGTAAAACGATCCCGAAAATTCGGGTCCCTGCAGGTGCGTTTCGAGTGTTGTAACCATCACGGTAGACGTTCTGCGTGGCAGATTTCTAACCTCGTGCGTTGTTTTCCTTGCAGGAGTCGTTGTCCGTGCGCAGGCGAAAGGCTGGATGGACGCTAAGCTCGTGGATGACAGGGTTAACAAAGTTCTCCTGCCGTTCATCAAGCCTCCGCGCGGAATCCGGCGGTCCAAGACGCTTCTCGTCGTGGACTCGTACAGGGGCCACCTCACCGACGGCGTCCTCACCAACATGAAATGGAACAACGTAATCCCGACCATCATTCCCGGGGGCTGCACCCCCCTACTGCAGCCCCTTGATGTGAGCGTCAATCGCTTATTCAAGGCACTGCTCCGTCAGCTCTACAACGACTGGTTCGCCGAGTTTGGCGTCAGCACGTTCACGAAAGCCGGTGAGTTACAGAGGCCTTCTAAGTACCTCGCCTTGTATCGTGTTTGTTGCTGCTTGTTTGCAATACAATTCCCCGTGTGCGCCATGTGCCTCTTTACCGTTTACATGGCAGGCAACCTGAAAAAACTGCCGGCAGAGACGGTCCTCAAGTGGATTGCGAGTGCATGGGCGGCCGTCCCCGAGCACATTATTGAGAAGGCATTTCTCACGACAGGCATCAGCAACGCGGTCGATGGGACGCAAGATCACCTCGTCCTGGCCCACATGCGCGATGCGGGCGAGGTCGAGGTGGCACAAGACGTGCACGTTGCCCCTGAGGTGGAGGAGTGGGTGAACCCGCTGTTCGCCACCGCCGCGGAGGATGAGGAGGCGGCAAAGGCAGCGGATGCTGAGGATGCCGGGGACTTGCAGGAGGAGGACGAGGAGGAGGAGGAGGAGGAGGAGGAGGAGGAGGAGGAGGAGGAGGAGGAGGAGGAGGAGGAGGAGGACGAGGAGGAGGAGGAGGACGACGATGAGGAGGAGGGGGAGGAGGAGGAGGAGGAGGAGGAGGAGGAGGAGGAGGAGGAGGAGGAGGAGGAGGAGGAGGAGGAGGAGGAGGAGGAGGAGGAGGAGGAGGTGTCAGAATCTAACAGCAGGAATGGATGAACTAGCAGCATGCAGGAGTACAAGTAGTAAACCCTAATTGGGCTGTACCCCATATGGGCTACCCCACTACAGCCTAGACAATATGCAGCATATATGTTTGACACACCCCCATAGGCAAAGTGGGGGAGACAAGGGGTCAAACGACCAGTGAAGAGAAGCAAAGCAAGCTCAGGGTGGATCTCAACGTCACCACACATTCTGAGCACAAGCAAAGAGCCACAAGGCCAGTCCACATGCAGAGATATATATACAACAATAACAGTACAGTGATGACTACCTAGCAAGAGCAGGCATGCATGTATATATATAGATCACAGTACAAGCAGAGACTACAGCAAGTGTGGAAACGTAGGCACAAGGCCTAACAGGGTACAAAAGCGCTGATGATCACCAGACGGAAGTGCCTTGGTGAATATATCAGCAGTGTTGGCCCGAGTGGCCACGTGACGAAGACGAAGCTGGCCTCGCTGCTGCAACTCTCGAGCCAGGAAGTAACGCAAAGCAATGTGCTTCGTTCTGTGCTCCAGTCTGTGCTCCTCACACAAGGCAATGGCGGCCTTGTTGTCGACGTACAGCACTGGAGGAGAACGAGGCTGCTCTCCCAAGTCAGTCAGCAGGTAGGTGAGCCAGCGTAACTCCTGTGCAGCCATGGCTGTGGCGTAGATCTCAGCCTCACAACTGGAGCTGAGAACTGAAGACGAGCGTGTAGAACGCCACGAAACTGAACCAGAGCCAAGGCTGAAGGTGTAACCCTGTGACGACCGCTGAGTAGCCTGGTCGTCAACCCAAGAAGCGTCTGAGTGCCCAGTGAGGACAACTGGGCTCGTCCCTCCAAGCACTAGCCCCATGCCTGATGTGCTGCACAAGTAGCGCAGTACCCTCTTAGCAGCAGCCATGTGCTCAGGTCGGTGCCGACCAGGAGCCACGTAGCGAGCCAGAAGACCAAGAGGGTACGCGAGGTCAGGTCGAGTGCAAGTCATCAGGTACATGAGGCAGCCGACTAGCTCTGGGTAAGGACCACTCGGCTCTACGGACTCGTCCGAAGGTGGAGCTGAGAGCGTGTGACCTGTAGCCAGAGGAGTGGCCTGTGCTGAAGACCAGGTGAAGCCGAAGCGCTGAAGGACCTGCTGCACCATGTGTGACTGAGTCAAGGTGATGGTGCGGCGTGCTCTGTCCCGGGTGATCTGCAAGCCAATGTAGCTGCGCAGCTCACCCAAGTCAGTGCACGTGTGTCTCTTCTGCAGCTCCGACTTCACGTGGGCGAGAGCCTCAGTGTCAGCAGTGGCAAAAACCAAGTCGTCGACGTACACGAGAATGTAGAACGGCGGCAGTGAAGTGTCGGTGCGCAGAAACAGCGACGGGTCAGCAGTAGAAGGCGCGAACCCAAGAGCCGCAAGCGTAGTCCTCAGTGTGTCGTGCCACTCACGTGGCGCCTGGCGGAGACCGTAGACCGGCCGCCGGAGGCTCCACTGGGTGCCAGGAGGGAACGACCCAGTGAAGCCCGGGGGGCGGCGCAGCTAGATCTCCTCGTGCAGGCTGCCCTGCAAGAAAGCTGTGCTGAAGTCAAGAGAGTGAAGCTCGTAGTCACGGTGAGCAGCAACATGCAGCAGCACCCGAAGAGTGGTCATCTTCGGGGTGGGGGAGAAGGTCTGGAAGAAGTCTACTCCCTCTCGCTGACTGAAGCCTCGAGCAACGTAGCGCGCCTTGAAGACAGGAGGAGAACCCGGCGGCCGCTTCACCCTGAAAATCCACATGCCACTGACGATGTTCGCCCCAGGTGGGGGAACCTCGTCAACGTAGGTGCCTGTGGACTTCCAGGAAGCCATCTCTGCGTCCATAGCTGCCTGCCACTGAGAGGAGTAGGGGCCCGCGATCGCCTCTGCGTAAGAGCGCGGAGTCGGGATGTCTGGTGCATCCGGGTCTCCCTCAGGGGCAAGTAGCGAGGACACAAGATGAGGTAAAGCAGCAGCAAGACACTGGAACTCCTCTTGCCTGTCCTCAAGGAAATCCGTGCTAAGAACACACTCACCCCCGACGGACGGAGGACAGACAGACTCAGACTCAGCAACAAGACTGGCGGCGTAGTCTAGACGACAGGCAGCAGCAAAGTCAACAAGCTCAGCGACCAAGGCAGACGCAGCAGTAGACTCAAACGACGGGTCAGTGACAACAGTGGCTAGGAGACGCGTGACAGTAGGGTGCTCAGTACGAAACCGGTCAGACTCAGGGTCCGGAACGGCAGGCAGAGAGGACGCAGGGGGAGACGGCAGAGGAACAGGCTGCGGAGCAGAGGAAGGACGACGGACAACAAGGTGTGTGCCGGGGACAGCCGGCTGACGCGCACGAGCGACACGACGAACGGTACGACCAGAACGAACAGGCGAGACAGGACGCGACGCAGGCTCACGACGCGTAGCAGGACTGCCTGTCTGCTCAGTGTAAGGAGAGGGAGCAGGTAGCGGTGAGCCAGTCTGTAACGGAAGACCAGTAGACGACGGGAGAGTAACAACCTGACGAAGAGCAGAGTCAGGCGGCGGCAGAGACGACGGAGACGGCGGAGCGAAGAACAGTCGTGTCGGCGCAGCTGCACCAGTACCGGTAGCTCCAGCAGCTCCAGTGCCTCCAGCAGCTCCAGTACCTCCAGCAGCTCCCGTACCTCCAGCAGCTCCAGAAGCTCCAGTCCCAGAGCCGACACCCCCAGTCCCAGGGTCTCCAACCTCTGTGTCTCCAGCAGCAGCACCCCCAGACCCAGCACCTCCAGTCCCAGGGTCTCCAGCCTCAGTGTCTCCAGCAGCAGCACCCCCAAAACCAGCACCTCCAGTCCCAGGGTCTCCAGCCTCAGTGTCTCCAGCACGAGCACCTCCAGAACCAGCGACTCCAGCACCTCCAGTAGACAAAGGACCAGCACCACTCCTAGCTCCAGCAGCGCGACGCTGACGGCGACCGTACCAGTCCTGCAGCTGCTGTGGGGTGAGAGGCACACGTGGACGAAGGCGGCTACTCCAAGGAGACCGCGCAACAGCAGACTCAGAACCCTCAGCGCCCGCACCCCCAACGGCTCCAGAACCTCCGGTGTCAGTACCCTCAGCACCAGTACCTCCAGCGGCTCCAGAACCTCCAGCACGAGCACCCTCAGCAGCTCCAGAACCTCCAGCTCCAGCGCCACCAGTACTAGGCCCTCCAGCAGCTCCCGAACCTCCAGCGCCAGCACCCTCAGTAGCTCCAGAACCTCCAGCGTCAGTACCGCCAAGCTCAGCACCCCCAGACCCCTCACACTCAGGCTCAGCACCACCAGGCTCCACACCCTCAAGCTCCGCACCCTCAGGCTCAGCACCCCCAGGCTCAGCACCCCCAGGCTCCGCACCCCCAGGCTCAGCACCCCTAGAAGTAGCACCCCGAGAAGGACCACCCTCAGTAGGACCTGAGTCACCAGTGACCTCAACCGGCGCAGTCAAGGGAGGAGGGTCTACCTGAGAAACACCTGAAGGAGCAGGACCAGGAGTGGGGAGGGGGTCTACCTGGGGAGCACCTGGAGCGAGGAAGAGCGGCGGGGGGGGGGGAGCGGGGCAGTGCGGTAGGGGAAGAGACGGTAAAAGGGAACCGACTCGTCGAACGTGACGTCCTGAGACGCAAAGACACGGCGCGAGGTGGGGTCGTAAAACTGCCAACCAGGCGCGTCAGGGACAAAGCCAAGGAAGACACAGGGAACAGCGCGGGCGGAGAGCTTGTCCGCGGTGGTATCGCGGACAAAGGCACGAGCACCCCAGACCCGGAAACGCGACGCATCACCAACCTTCCCCGTCCACAGCAGTGTGGGCGAGGTCTCCGGCAAGGAGACACGGGGCCAGAGGTTGAGCTGATGCGCGGCGTACCGGACCGCAAACGGCCACAGGAAATGGGGGGCAGCCGCATGGATCATGGAGGTACGAGCGACCTCCATGACTAAGCCAATGCGACGCTCAGCAACCCCATTTCGCTGTGGAGAGGCCGGAAGCGTGAACGACTGGGTGATGCCGTGCTCCGCACAGTAGGCTGCCAAGAGGTCAGAGGAGAACTCACCACCTCTGTCAGAGTGCAGAAGCAGGACAGGAAAGTCCCGCCGGAACCGCTCGCGGAGCTGGAGACGAACAGTGCGGATCCAAGGGATCAAAACATCAGGGACGTCCCCCTTGCTCTGCAAGGGGAAGACCGTGGTGTAACGCGTGTAGTCGTCGACAACCAGCAGGAAGTACCGCTCGCGGCCCTGTCCCTGGACGCGGGCTGGGCCCCACACGTCCAGGTGGAGCGTCTGCAGTGGAGCCTCTGTGGGAGGAAACGAGGAGGAGTGAGGAGCGGCGCGCTGCCGCCCCTCGACGCAAGGAATGCAGGGCGGCGCAGGCGAGGGAGGGAGGGCAGGCAGAGACCTGGGAAGACCAGAGACCAGGGAGCGAGAGTGCATGCTACGCAGGCGAGGCAAGGAGGGGTGACCAAGACGGTGGTGCCACAGGAGAGTGTCATGCGACAAAGCGCGACACTCGCAGGGGGCCGCCAGCTGACCAGACGTAGACGCAGACGCAGCTACCTGAGGGGACTCAGTGGTCAGTGTGTACAGACTCGAGCCAGGTGCACGGGTGAACGTGGCCAAGTGCCGGCCCGTCCTAGCACACGTACAGTGAGTCACTCGCTGACTCGCAGGAGTGAACTGGTCAACCTCCCGATCCTGGAGGTCAGCTCCACTCACCAAGTTCGTAGAGAACGAGGGGAGGTAAAGACCTGACAGCGAGCCGGACGGGACGGCCGGACACGGCAGAACCGTGGAGTAGTGGGCAAGGACTGGACCCCCGGAGGGGTCCGCCAGGGAGACTGGAACTGGCCGACTAAGCGGCGTGAGTGTGGTGCAGTCGCGAAAGAAGGAGCGAGAAGCTCCTGAGTCAAGGGTGAAGGTGTGCGAGACCGTAGTTGGCGCAGTACCAGAGAGAGCAGACTCACCAGTACCTGAAGCCATGGCCTCACCAGTACCTAGAGCAGTAGACGTACTAGCACCGAGAGCAGCAGCCTCACCAGCACCTAGAGCAGGAGACGCACTAGCACCTAGAGCAGCAGCCTCACCAGGGTCAGGCGGTACGCACAGATAACAGGCACGATCAGCACTAGTAGGCAATGCATACATGGCAGTGAGAATAGCATCATAGTCAAGCGCAAAGATATCTACCCTCTGTCCATGCAGCTCCAGCCAGGTGGGGAGCTCAGCCTCGTCGCCAAACACTGTGCGCCAGTCGTCGCTCAGACGGGCGAAGCAGCGGGACTGTGTGTGACCAAGCGTCCCACAAGGCTGACCAGTCCTAGCACCTGTGCGAATGACGTACGGGCAGCGAACTGTACGCGTAGACCTGCTACACTGAGCGTACCACTCCTGGAGCTGCCGGGGCGTAAGTGTCTCTCGTGGTCGCCCCTGCAGCTGCAGCTGGCCACTGCCAGACGCTCCCAACTGACCAGCTCCAGGGCGACAGCTACGACGGCTACTGCGACAACCCCAGCTAGTATACCACTCACTAAGCTGCTGGGGCGTCAGAGGCTCGCGTGAACGTCGCTGGAGCTGCATCTGGCCACCTGCCAGTAGCAGTAGCAGCAGCAGTAGCGCGGGCAAGGCAGGCGCGGCAGGCAGGCAGGCAAGCAGGCAGGCAAGCAGGCAGGCAGGCCGGCAGGCAGGCAGGCAGCCAGGCAGGCAGGCAGGCAGGCAGACAGGCAGGCAGGCAGGCAGGCAAGCAGACAGACAGGCAGGCCGGCAGGCAGGCAGGCAGGCCGGCAGGCAGGCAGGCAGTCGCGCAGGCAGGCAGGCAGGCAGGCAGGCAGGCCGGCAGGCAGGCAGGCAGTCGCGCAGGCAGGCAGGCAGGCAGGCAGACAGGCAGGCCGTCAGGCAGGCAGGCAGGCGCTCACCAAAGGCTGGGAGAGCAGGCGCTCACCGGGCGAGCAGGGCCGGCGCTCGACGGGCGGCGGCGTTGGGGCCGCAAAACCGGCTGCAGAGCAGGGCCGAAGCAGCTGCAGGGCGGGGCCGCTTCAGCGGCAGTAGCAGGGTGGGGCCGCGTCAGCGGCAGGTCGGGGCCGTGGCAGCTGCAGGGCGGGGCCGCATCAGCGGCAGGTCGGGGCCGTGGTAGCTGCAGGGCGGGTCCGCATCAGCGGCAGGTCGTGGCCGAGGCAGAGGGCCGCGCGCGGCTCGGCGCGGGCTGCGCTGACAGCGCGCTGAGCTGCTGCAGGCCGCGCGCGGCCGCGCTAGGCAGTAGCGGGCCGCGCGCGGCTCGGCGCGGGCTGTTGCGGGCCGCGCGCGGGCCGCGCGAGGCAGTAGCAGGCCGCGCGCGGGCCTCGCGAGGCCGTAGCAGGCCGCGCGCGGGCCTCGCGAGGCCGTAGCAGGCCGCGCGCGGCTCGACGCGGGCTGCGTGGGCTCGGCGCGGGCTGCGCGCGGCAGCTGCGGGCTGCGCGCGGCTGCAGCGGGCTGCGCGCGGCTCGGTGCGGGCTGCGCGCGGCTGCAGCGGGCTGTGCGCGGCTCGGCGCGGGCTGCGTGGGCTCTGTGCGGGCTGCGCGCGGCTGCAGCGGGCTGCGCGCGGCTCGGCGCGGGCTGCGCGGGCTCTGTGCGGGCTGCGCGCGGCTGCAGCGGGCTGCGCGGGCCTTACGGGCCTCTAGGGGCAGCGCGCTGGCCTTACGGGCCTCTAGGGGCAGCGCGCTGGCCTAGGGCAGCAGGAGGCAGCGCTAGGGCTGCTGGACGGCGCACATAGTGCAGCACGTCACAAGGCAAGGCAAGGCAGGCAGGTACGTGGGGTAGCGCGGTAACCGCAACGGTAGGTGGGCCCGAAAAAAAAAACGGTCCTACGGACCTTAGTGCTCTGAAACCATGTCAGAATCTAGCAGCAGGAATGGATGAACTAGCAGCATGCAGGAGTACAAGTAGTAAACCCTAATTGGGCTGTACCCCATATGGGCTACCCCACTACAGCCTAGACAATATGCAGCATATATGTTTGACAGGAGGAGGAGGAGGAGGAGGAGGAGGAGGAGGAGGAGGAGGAGGAGGAGGAGGAGGAGGAGGAGGAAGAGGAAGAGGAGGAAGAGGTGGATGAGGAAGATGAGATATTGGTTCCTTGAAAATAGAGTGCTTGATGGAATCCATAATGACCATGCTGTAGTTGTAGTGACCTCTAGATGTTGAGATGTGTGTGTAGTACCGTAGGTCTTTACATTAACAATGATAACAGCACCAAACTCAGTCGGGGTAAAGGGGGGGGGGGGGGGGGGGGGGGGGGGGGGTCCTCACAAATCATGCCCCAATAAGAGTCCCTCTGCTCCTTCAAGAGTCCCGGGGACCCTCTTACCGGCGGGTCCTATAGGTGGCACTTTACGGTATAACTGATTGTCGCAATAGTTGGAGTAGTTATATGCACAATCATTTTTGCATCATATTTGTTGGTGCACACTTGTTCCTATTCCTTGTCTATCATGTCACGTTGTATATTTATCTTATTTTTACAATTGTAAATTAACTGCATTGAATTACTACAAACATTGTGGGCCTGCACCGTGCACGACTGGCGTCATCATCATGACCCAACGGTAATAAGGGCTGCCGAAGCGTCACGCGAGTTTCGAGCTTCCCCATGAAGGTGGGAGCTCGTCGCGTCACACGCACACTGCGGCAGCAGAAACTGCACTCGCTGTTCATCGCTTTGCCCTCATCCGATGATGGGGTGGAACAGTGTCGCCCGGCTTGACCGCACGGCGGGCAGGCTCGTCGCCGGAGCCGCCGGGCCGCGCTGAGTCATGGCCGCAGCGGGTCCACGCGTATCGCACGGGAGGCGTCTCCTTTGCTGGCAAGAACAGAGATCTCGCGTCGTCCTCTCCAGTGGATGCTGACTTTCGAGTTTCAGCCTGGCGCTTCGCCGTTCAGTGTCTTCTTTATCTATAACCCTGGAAAGAAAACAAAACACGTTCGTGTGAGTCGTTTGCAAACAACGGCGACATGGTTAACCTAAACTCGCTACTGCTACTTTTTCTTCCCCGCCCTCGTCGTCATGTAAAAAGATCAATATCATGTGCCAGTCCCGGCTATCGCACTGCCACTGCTCGACGCGAAAACTTAGACGCTGAGAACCTCCCTACTAGTCGTGTTGATACTGTGTTCACTGAGGCGTTTCACACCGCCATCTTACTTACTGCGACTGCAAATCTTGGAAACGCAGGCCCAGCTTTTCCCTGGCTGCCTGAGCGAAGCTGCCGTGGCAGCACAGCTTTGAGGTTTCTCAGAAGAAGAGACACAAGCGCAGCCGTGAGCACAAGCGCAGCCGTGAGCACAAGCGCAGCCGTGAGCACAAGCGCAGCCGTTAGTTGAGTTTCGTGGCACCATCGTGGCCGCTGCATCATCAGCCTCCGTCTGCTCTGCACGAGTCCTTCACCCTCACCACTCCTCCACTTGTTGCTCAGCTTAGCACGTCTAGCCATCCTTCCTTCCGTCCTCCAAGTTTTATCTGGAGAGCCATGAGCAACTGGCGCAGCTCCTCCTTCTCCTTCCCTCCGCCGCTGCTGCACCTCCGCCTGCCGCTGCTGCTGCTGGCGGGGCTGCTTCTGCTGCCGCCGTGCCCTGCTGCCGCCACTCGCATCAACGACGCGGCGACGCCCAAGGTCGCTCGCTCCTCCTCCTCCTATTTGCACTGCCGATCGACCCACTATCCCAAGCTCTTCCCACTCGCCCCCTCTCCCTCACTCCCTCTTGTCCTTCCATTCTCCAACCCCCACCGCTGCTCTCTTCCCCTTTCTTCCCGCCCTCCTCCCCCTGTCATGTCATGCCTCACACCCCAGTCCCACCTTGACAAACGTATACTAATCCACTTCGTACCCTCGTGGGCATGATCCCTCGCCAACTTGCTCCCCTTGCCGCATTCCTCTTTTCCAGCTTCATCCACACCCCAATGAACATGTACGCTGCAGCATGACTGCTCGCTCAGTGCCCAACTCAATTAAGCCGCGGCCCTTCATCCTCCCGTCCCCCTCTCTCCCCAATCCCTATCCCCTCCATTCCCTTACTTCCCCCTTCCTCCTCCCTGCCTCTCCCCTGCCTCGCGCCCCTCCCTCCCTCATCCCCTTTTCCTTCCCCTGCCTCTGCCCTGCCTCGACCCTGCCTCCCGCCTGCGTCGTCCCTTGGCAGCGCGGGTGCTGGCGGAGTGCGCTGCAGCGTGGGGCGTGTCGCCTTACGGGTGGCGGGTGGGGGGCGACTGTGAGAGGGCGGAGTACATTGCATGCGACGCCAACGGGCTCATCATTCGCATGTGCGCAACCAGCGGGGGAGGGAGGGGCGTGGGGAAAAGGGAGGCAGGCAGGGGGGAGGGGAGGAGGGAGGGAGGGAGGGAGGGAGGGAGGGAGGGAGGGAGGGAGGGAGGGAGGGAGGGAGGGAGGGAGGGAGGGAGGGAGGGAGGGACGGAGGAGGGAGGGAGGGAGGGAGGAGGGAGGGACGGAGGGAGGGAGGGAGGGAGGGAGGGAGGGAGGAGGGGGGGGGGGGGGGGAGGGAGGGAGGGAGGGAGGGAGGGAGGGAGGGAGGGAGGGAGGGAGGGAGGGAGGGAGGGAGGGAGGGAGGGAGGGAGGGAGGGAGGGAGGGAGGGAGGGAGGGAGGGAGGGTGCGGTGAGCCACAGAAGCCACTGACATGCTGTCAATGTGCTGCGACTGTGTTTCACTCTTCTGCTGCTTTGCCTCTGTGTTTGTGCCTATGTATGTGTGTGTGTGCCTGCGTGTGTGTGTGCGTGTGTGTGTGTGTGTGTGTGTGTGTGTGTGTGTGTGTGCGTGCGTGCTGTGTGCGTGCGTGCGTGGTGCGTGCGTGTGCGTGCGTGCGTGCGTGCGTGCTTGCATGTGTGTGCGCAACACAACACAAACAGGTGGGCTCGAATGTTACATCTAAGTGGATCCATCCCAAGGTCCATCCCAACTGCGCTTGCCACTCTCACCTCTCTCACCACGCTGTACGCCTGCCTCACCACTCTCTATACCCCTATGCCTCTCCAAATCGAGGTTTGCAAGCATTTTGCAGTGTCTTGATGCTCTCACCACTCTCTAAGCCCTTGTACGGTTGTACCACTCTACATCGCTCCACACATTTCACCACACCAAGTCATCTCATCCCAGGCCCCTACGCCTCTCCCCTAGCCATGCAATTGTCTATCCCCCTTCCTCCCCTCCCCTCTACCAGCATGCAACAACACTTCGTCTCACCCAAACTCTGCATGCACCTCAGTACTGCTCTGTCTGCACCTTAGCATCCCTCTCCATTCACTACGATGACCTCTTTGCGTGTTGTAGCAAAACAACCAGGAGCGCTCGCTCTGCAGCAACCCTTACTTTTCACCCACCTCACCAGTCGTATCCCTCCTCCCGCTGTCCTCTGTTCCCTCTCCCCCCTCACTGCTCCATCGCACTTTGCGTGTGCTGTGCTGCCACGTGAGCAGCAGCCTGTGCTACAACGGCCTGGAGGGCCCCATTCCTGCTTCCTTCAGCGCACTCGCCTCGCTCAGCCAGCTGTGAGAGGCAACGGGGCATGTGTAGTGGGGGGTTGAGGGGGGGGGGGAGGAGGAGAGGGAGGGGGGAGTGAGGGAGAGAATGGGGGAGAGAGAGAGGGAGGGAAGTGGAGAGCGAGGGATGGAGAGGGGGAGGGAGGGAGTGCGGGAGAGATGGAGGGGGGCAGGGAGGCAGGGAGGTGGGGAGGTGGGGAGGTGGCGAGGGGGGGAGAGTGGAGAGAGGCAGGCTGTGTTGCTATCCCAGTCTCCACCACAGCTGTTGCATCCCGTACTCCGGAGCCGGTGGCAACTGGAGGGCAGGCAGCGCCTTCCCTCTCGGGCACTTCCGATGCAGGCACGAGAAAGGCTGCAAGTGCTCCTACCTCTAAACCACAGGCAGCTCACAGTGAGCTCCTACCTCTAAACCAAAAGAAATGCTGCTCAGTGAGCTCGCCAGCATGGCCTGGTGTGCGTGAGCTCTCTCTAGGATAGGTAGGAGGACGTGAAGCACCTTCTGATCACATGAAGCACCTTCTAATCACATGAAGCACCTTCTGATCACATGAAGCACCTTCTGATCACATGAAGCACCTTCTGATCACATGAAGCACCCACCCTCTCGCACTCCGCCAGCAGTCACAGGCTCACAGCTGCCCAAGGTCTCTGTGGAGACTATCACGCCCACCCTCAGAGGGAGGAAGGAACATCCAGGTCATGGGACAAGGAACGGATAGATTTGCGAGAGAGTGGGATTGCTATGTGCCAGCCGAAGGGGGGAAGGGCCGAACTGCGCAGTCACCGAAGTGAGATGAAAACGAAAGAATCAGGTCACAAGGATGGAGCAGGCTGCTGCAGGGCCCAAAATTCCCAGCCCTAAGAGCAGAAGGGCAAAAGGCAGAGGCCAGAAGGCAGATGTGGCCAACCAAGTCCTAGGCTACCTTCTCAAAAGGCCCTCGTCTTGATTCTGTGAGAGATACGGCCATGCAGGTTACCAAGCAACCCTCCCCTCCCACTCTCCGTCTCTCTGCAGTGATCTGCAATACAACAATCTAAGCGAGTCCATTCCAGATGACATCTCACACATGACTGCTCTTACAAGCCTGTGCGTGCCACCCCAACCGCCCATCACATCACCCGTCCCCTTTTTGGGAACTCTCGAACTTATTCTGTTCGTGCTATTCCACATCACCCATCCATTTCTTTCCCAAAGTCGTTCAATCCGCGCCTCACATCATCCGTTCGCATTTTATGCAGATGCACCCGCACCACACGTGCTCTTATGTGTCACCTCACCTCTTCTCACATCACATCATACCATCGTCTCTCATGTCTCATGGCACATGGAATGAATGCTTATGGCATTGTTGTATCTGTCCCTCTGCATCCTCTCACAATTCTCTCACCATGCTCGTCCATGTGCGTTCACAGCGCACCTCAGCATCTTTCACGGCTCGCCTCCTTATTCCACTCCCTTTCCTCCTTCTCGTGTCCCATTCTCATGCCTTGTCTCATTCCCATGTCATCACCATGCCTCCTCACGTATCATGTCAATGTACCCCCACATCCCTCCATCCATCTCCCATGGCCCGCATGTCCCCATCGCAGCTATCTCTCCAACAACCAGCTCTCTGGCGCCATTCCCTCCGGCATTGGTGCACTCACGCGCCTCGAACTGCTGTACGCTTGCCATGCATCGGCCAACAAACAGATACACGCGACCAAGCAGATTGTCTTAGGCATCTCAAAACTCGTGCCAGTTCATGTTGTTTCCGTATGAGTAACAGCTCTATTGCATGGAGGTGTGTACATGACTTGCAAAAGTCTCAATGACCACGCTTTTGAAGGTCAACACTTGCAATTTTGGGTTTTCACCAGTGGGTGTGTTGAATGTCTGTTGAAAGGCGATCTTGGTAGTTGAGATTTCTTGATATTTGTTCATGGTGTGAGCTACTATTAGCTCACGCTACGTTGTTTCAATTGTCCAAAGCACAGCTGAAGGTGTACCAAAATTTTCCGCCCCTTATCGAAACATGTTTGCGATTGAACCTTCTTTTAGCTAGAAGGGGCATGTAGTTTATCCCTGCTGTGATTCTTTTCTCCTCTTTCTCCACCAGCCTTTCCAACCATGAGTGGTGTGGCGGCAACCATTGACGTTCAAGCAGCCTTAGAGGACCACACAACAGATTCCTCCTTCGCTTGTCTCACCGTAATGCCATGGTTCGATCCCATGCCAAGCCTCACTCCCACGCCATTACCTTCCCCCCCACATACCATGTCAATACCCCAATGACTCTCCATCTCCCATGACCCGCATGTCCCGTCGCAGTTATCTCTCCAACAACCAGCTGTCTGGTGCCATTCCCCACGCCATTGGCGCCCTCAAGGGCCTCGTGCACCTGTGAGTGTGCGCGCGTTTTTGAATGAGTACAGATGAAGTGGTTTTGTAACGTCTTTTGGTGATCCAAGAAGTTTGACTCAGAATTTGTGTGCATGCCTAGCTGTCACCATACCCCTGTACTGTACGTGTCATGCCAGTGTACCCTCATGACTCTCCATCTCCCATGGCCCGCATGTCCCCGTTGCAGCATGGTTGAGAACAACCAGCTGTCTGGTACCATTCCCCCGACATAAGCACTCTCACGGCCCTCCAAATCTTGTGAGTGTGCCAGTCATTGCCAATCAAGCAGCCATCGACGATCAAGCAACCGATGCCTTCCTCCCATGTCATGTCTCACTCCCATGCCATCACCACCATAGCCCCACACACGTGACATTCCAATGCCTAGACTCTCCATCCATCTCCCATGGCTCGCATGTTCCCCTCGCAGCCGACTCTCCAACAACCAGTTGACGGGTGCCATTCCCTCGGCCATAAGGAAAATGACGTCCCTCCGATACCTGTAAGTGTGCCAGCCAGCCAGCCAGCCAGCGTATACAACGTCTCTCCTGCTTGGAAGGGCAATGGTGCTGGAGAAAGTGCTTCAGTACGAAACGCCGGAAGGTAAAATGCACCCTAGTTAAGGAAAATCTGATTGCAGAAATCCCAAGTTGTTCACATGTCCCGGTTAGATGGGGAGAATTGAGATTGGCAGTTATGATCTCGATCTTTAGAATCGCAAGTACCTACACTGCCTCATTGAGTGATCCGGATCCCCAGTTCAGCTAGATCTCAACAATCTCAACTCACCCACCTATGTCAAGATTAGGGATGAGCAAAGGGCGAACTCGAACATGTTCGCGTTCGCCCTTGGACGAACATGGCCGTTCGGCGAACCGAACTCCCCAAAAAAGGGTGTTCGGTGTTCGCCTGTGAAGGCGTGTTCGGGCGAACCTCGAACACGTTCGTGTTCGACACGGGCATTCTGCAGCAGCGCCACGAACACGAACATGTTCGGCCGAACATCGAACAGTGTTCGGCGAACGATTTAAGCTAAAAATCTAAACCTGTTCGGTTCGCCTTGAACGTGTTCGAGGCGAACCGAACAGGTGTTCGGTTCTTTGCTCAACCCTAGTCAAGATGAAGAAGACAGAAGGCAGACGTGGGTATGCAGATTCACTACATTAATCCCAACGTTCTTATGAGCAGCTTGTATTACCAGCAGGAGGCGTAGGGGGCGCGATTCTGCCAACAGGAAGGACAGGACAGGTTGAGGGTCAAATCCTTCATTTTCGAATCTCTTCTTGTGCCCTTTTCTCTCCACACCCCTGCATCTCCTGTGTGTGTCTACGCGGACATTTAATCGCTCACCCCTGCAGCTACCTCTCACACAACATGCTCACAGACAGCATTCCCTCACAAATGAGCAGCTTGTGGACTCTTCACTACCTGTCAGTAGTGCCATATGACCCTCCCTCTCTCTCACTTCCACTGTTGCTTCACTCCCCGCCAGTCCATATCCCACTCTGCTGCATCTCTCCACTCACATACTCCTGCATCTGCAGGCATGCCCTTGCATTGGTCATGCTTTCTCACCCTCATGCTTTCCACACCTCACATGCTCCCTCTTTCACCCCCCCTGCTCTATAGCCTTCCATTTCGATCGCTCTCAACCTTCCATTTTTGTTTTCATAAGCGCAAGAATCACCTTGGTCTTATAAATTTCCACACCACGTTGTGTGTCTATCCGCCCATCACAGCCACCTGGACAACAACAAGCTGGGAGGCTCCATCCCTGGCGCGTTGAGTAGCCTCTCCAGTCTGGTCTCCCTGTCAGTCGCTCGCCCCCTCCCACGCCCTCATATCACAATCGTGCATCGCTCTCCCCACATCGCTCTCCCTGCATCCCTCTTCCCACGTCGCTCTCCCCACATCGCTCTCCCTCCTGCAACCATGCCTGCACAGCAAGAATGAACCGCTTGGCACCCTTCTTTCATCCGTGCCTTCACTCAAGCGAGAGCTGGCCTCTGTGTGTGCGCATCACTCTCCCTCTCCCACATCGCACTCCAAACCCCAACTGACTCCATATCTCCGGCTCCTTCTCACGCCTGTAACTTTGTTACACAGCCAACGTGAGACTGTTTCTCAGGCGCCTCAGAAATAGGCACACCTAGTGTGTGACTGCCTTCACCCCGTGGTGCATGCTCCATGCTGCATGCTGCTCGCAGGTCCATGGCCAACAATGAACTTGAGGGGCCCATCTTTTCCTTCCCCGCTTCTTTCTATAGACTCACCCACCTGTCAGTGTTCTCACATGCCCACCTGTCAGTGTTCTCACATGCCCACCTGTCAGCGTTCTCACATGCCCACCTGTCAGTGTTCTCACATACCCACCTGTCAGTGTTCTCACATACCCACTTGTCAGTGTTCTCACATGCCCACCTGTCAGTGTTCTCACATGCCCACCTGTCAGTGTTCTCACATGCCCACCTGTCAGTGTTCTCACATACCCACCTGTCAGTGTTCTCACATACCCACCTGTCAGTGTTCTCTCATATGCACGTGGCAAGGAGGCTTATCCACCAGAATTGCTGTCGTATCATCCTTGAGCATCGACCCCTCTATGGCGCCGCTCCCCCATCCAGATTCTATTTCCACACCTCTCTCGTTCATCCATCTTCCTTGCCTCCCTCCCTCAACCCCTCCCTCCTCCCTCCTTACCTCCCTCCCTCCCTCCCTCACTCCCTCCCTCCCTCCCTCCCTCCTCACCTCCCTTCATGCTTGTGCGTATGCAACCGCACACTCACTCGCTGCTTACTCACGCTACTGCTCTTTACCCGCTACTTACCATGCTCTCTACTCTCTTCTCTCTACTCCGACGCTTTATTCCAGTTTCCGCGACACACCCCCACTTCCGATCTGTCCTACGTTCTGAACCCTGCTCCTCCTGCCTGCTCTTCCTCCTCGTCCAGTGAGCTATCCAACAACAAGCTGACAGGAGTCATACCCACGTCTATAGGCGTCTTGACGAACCTCAATGCCCTGTGAGGGAGGGAGGGAGGGAGGGAGGGAGGGAAAGGGGGAGGAGGGGGGGAAGGGGGAAGGGGGTAGGGAGGGAGGGAACGGGACGAATGGGTGAGCGAGGGAGGTGGTTACCACATTGCCCGTCTTCACAGGTTAGCGAGGGAGGTGGTTACCACATTGCCCGTGCTCACATGAAAGTTGTGAGAACTCGCAACAACCCTCGTTCCGTTGCACACACATGTTGTAGCCTCCTCTTGCTTGTCGTGCTGTTTGGAAGAGTCTAACAACTCGATTGTTTGGGGGGTGGTACATTTTAGGGTGTGGTACATCTTGGGTCAAAGTTCAAAGTGGCCTTTTGAACAAGAGGTTCGAAAGAACACGTGGCTAACAAACAGCAGACGACATGTCAAAATGGTTATCTGCCGTGCATTGTGCTCGTCTAAATTTTGAACAGCTTTTGAACAATATTGTTTCGCACCTTTTTATGCCATTCCATTCCATGCCAATCTATCCATGTCGTGCCGTGCCATGCCATGCCATCCCACCCCATGCCACCTGTTGACTCAGTGTTGCTCGTTACCACTCTCCATCTTTCTATACCACTTTCCGCGAAACACCCCCATCTCCGTCTTTCCTCTCTCCTGAAACCTTGTCCTCCTTGCCCAGTGTGCTATCCAACAACACACTGACAGGATCCATACCCACTTCTATAATCGGCTTGTCGAAACTTCATGCCCTGTGAGGATGGGAGGGACGGAGAGCACTAAGCTAGTGAGTGTGCACGGAGGGGTTAGCGAGAAAGGTGTTAACCACATGGATGGATGTTCTCACGAGATGGCGAGAGAGATGGTTACCTCATTGCCCGTCCCCACGTGATAGTTTTTAGAATTCGCAACCACCCTCATTCCGTTGTGCACACAAAGCTTCCGCTTGTCATGCTGTTCTGACAGCTTGATTGTTATCATGCACTGACATGCCATGCCATGCCATTCACCCCATCCCACCTGACGAATCCAGCTACCTGAACGACAACAAGCTTGAGGGATCCATTCCAAGCACGATTGGTCTGCTGCACGATCTCTCATGGATGTACAAAACAGACCCCAGCTGGTCAATTCTCGCATCCATGCTACCGTACCCATGCAATATTGCAGGGTTTTTTTTTGGTTCTTCAGACGCACTAAGTCGCCATGCCCCACCAAGCCTCACTACGCCTCACATTCACCACTTTCCTCCTGACCCTCACCCAACGCCCGACCCTCTCTCCTTGTCCCATCTACCCTCCAGTTCCCTTTCCTACAACTCTCTGACCGCCAACCTTGGCGACCTCTCCCAACTGATCAATCTAATCGGACTGCGTGAAACCATTCTCCCATCCACCCACCCATCCCATTCTCTCTCCCTCGCACTCTTTCCTCTCGCTCACTCACGTCCCTTGTATTGGACCTTCGCTCCACACCACAATTCACCCTCTTCCCTTGCTCAAATTTGATCCCTCCAACCCCCACTCTTCCCCAACATCCTTCCCCTCCTACCCCACTCTTGCACTGTACCCATCTGCACCGCACACCACCCAGGGAGCTATCCAGCAATGCCATATCCGGCCCAATCCCCACCACTCTGAGGGAACTCCTCAGCCTCGAAACCCTGTGAGCGATGTGATCCATGCAGTGCGCGTGAGAGAGCGAGGGGGATTGCGATGTGCAGATGGGTTCACTGTCTGGCCCAGCACCACCAGTGCTGCACTGCAACAAGGGAGTGTGGCAGGCAGGTACTCACGTCACAAGTCACGCCCAGGGAGAGGGCAGTGGTTTGTGTGGGAATCAAGTCCAGTGAGGCTGCTGCGGCAGAAGCTGCTGTCTAAAGGGGTTGAAGCACTCGTTGTCAATTCTTCCTCACTCGGTGCCCTCTCTCGCCCTCACTCACCCTCTCTCGCCTTCACTCACCCTCTCTCGCCTTCACTCACCCTCTTTCGCCCTCTCCCCTCTCGCCCTCACTCATCCTCTCTCTACCTCACTCACCCTCTCTCTCCCTCTCTCACACTCTCTCTCGCCCCCTATCTCCCTCTCTCGCCCTCTCTCGCCCTCTACTGAGGTTTCTTCTCTCCATCTGCCCTGGTTCGTCTGCCAGGATGCTAGATGGCAATGCATTGGAGTCTCCTATCCCGACGAGCTTGAGTGCACTGAAGGCGTTGAAGCACATGTGAGCCGTGCTCTCTTAGTGTGTGCGTGCAAAGGGAACACTCGCACCAGACACACTTGCAGAATGAAAACTCAAACTGGTGTGTTGTGCAGCCAGTGGTGGTACTTGCGTGAGATATCACGACCATTTGGAGACCGGAAAGAAGAGAATTGTGGAGAAGTGCAGTCCACACAGCATGTGTGTGTGGTTGCTTTTGTGTGGGATTCGAAGCGCATCAGAATGACTTTCTCATTGCTGGAGTAGCTTTTTCAGTCAACCCAGACGTTTTGAGTTCCTGCATTTTCTACTTCTGGAGTGCAGTGCACTTATGAGATTGGAAGAAGGACGTGTGTGGGTATGGTATGGGATGATTGTATGATTCTGATGGTATGGAGTGACTATGAGGTGTGTGTGTGAGAGTGTGGGAGGCTTTTGAGAGTATGTGGGTATGGAGTGACTGGTGTGAGTATGGGATCAGCATGAGAGACACACTGTGTGAACATGGCATGGAGAGGGACTGAAGCAGTGAGTTCTGTCTCTCCTCCATCCCTTTATCTCTCTCACCTGCCTCTGTTGGCAACGGCAGGGATGTGAGCAAGAACAAGTTCTCAGAGGACTTTCCGAGTTTCTTCACCCGGATGAAAAAAATGAAGCACATGTGAGCATATGAGTGCATGCAAGCACATGAGTGCATGCAAGCATATGAGTGCATGCAAGCACATGAGTGCATGCAAGCACATGAGTGCATGCAAGCACATGAGTGCATGCAAGCACATGAGTGCATGCAAGCACATGAGTGCATGCGAGCACATGAGTGCATGCGAGCACATGAGTGCATGCGAGCACATGAGTGCATGCGAGCACATGAGTGCATGCGAGCACATGAGTGCATGCGAGCACATGAGTGCATGCGAGCACATGAGTGCATGCGAGCACATGAGTGCATGCGAGCACATGAGTGCATGCGAGCACATGAGTGCATGCGAGCACATGAGTGCATGCGAGCACATGAGTGCATGCGAGCACATGAGTGCATGCGAGCACATGAGTGCATGCGAGCACATGAGTGCATGCGAGCACATGAGTGCATGCGAGCACATGAGTGCATGCGAGCACATGAGTGCATGCGAGCACATGAGTGCATGCGAGCACATGAGTGCATGCGAGCACATGAGTGCATGCGAGCACATGAGTGCATGCGAGCACATGAGTGCATGCGAGCACATGAGTGCATGCGAGCACATGCGAGCGAGCACCTCGGCTATTGGAGCTACATGCGTGAATTCATGTGAATAATGTGAACACGTCTTGATTCCTCTGTATAGTAATCACATGCACCCACATGCACCCACATGCACCCACATGCACCCACATGCACCCACATGCACCCACATGCACCCACATGCACCCACATGCACCCACATGCACCCACATGCACCCACATAAACCCACATGCACCCACATGCACCCACATGCACCCACATAAACCCACATGAACCCACATGCACCCACATGCACCCACATGCACCCACATGCACCCACATGCACCCACATGCACCCACGTGCACCCACGTGCACCCACGTGCACAGCTAGTGTTTGACTATGCGCACCTGGGTTTCCACCAAACCTCCTCCCTTCCCCCCCCTCCACCAGACATATTCATATCACCTCCTCTCCTCTCCTCTCCACTCCTCCCCTCCCCCACCATCCATTGTCACAGGAAGCTAAGCAACAATAACTTCACAGGCAGCATCCCTGCCTCAATCTCCTCTCTCGTTTCCCTCACCTACCTGTACGCCTCCCTCACTCACACACCTATTCACTTCACCTGGACACACACCCGTGCATCTCATTCGAGACATGCATGCAACCTTGAAGTCTGCAGGAGGCTATGTTGCATGAGAGACGTGGCCAAGTATTGAATGAGGAGACATGGGGGTGGGGCAGCCCTTGTGTTGGTATGGCGTACCAGCATGTGGGAGCCCCACAGGCAGTCCACACACGCCTCACGCCCACACACGCCTCACGCTGTGTGGTGCGGCTGACCAGCCAGCTTCAAGAGCTTTAAGGTGCCTTACAGAATTTTCTTTCTTCTATGTCAAATACCGGTGGTTGCTTTTATGGCTGCAATGCAGTTGGTGAACGGTACAGTGCCATTTTCACCTTATTCACCCTCTCCTCTCTCTGCCTCACCCTTAACCTGACCCCGCCTTCGCCCTTGTTTTTTGCTTCCTCCAGTGATCTAGGCTACACATTGCTGGCCGGCACAATTCCCACCGCCATCACCAAAATGCAACACCTTTCTCGCCTGTAATCTTGAATTGGCAAAAATCGGGTGGGACCTTCAATGTTTTTGGGCGAAGATCCGTGTATGGCCTGTGCAAGGCGCTTGTGAGCTGCAAAGTAGGCATGATCAATAGGCCCGACCCGACTTGGGCGAGCCAGCCGGGTTCCGGGTCGGGTCGGGTCGGGTCGGACCTTTCAAGATCTCTGGCCCGACCCAGGTATCGGGTGCCGGGACAGGCGTGACCCGCCCCCGGGTCGGGTCGGGTAGGGGCCGGGTCGGGTCGGGTCGGGCCAGACCCCCATATACACTGTTAAAGGTTCTCCTTAGAACCCCAGAATGGATGGCGCAAAGTGCGAATAATTTATAAAAATGATTGGCTGAGTACTAACTAAACATTATCGTAGGTTATAGGGTAGATTAGTACGCCAATGTTGCTTGGTGGGTGGCTGCTGGCGTCACTAGCTAGTTAACTAAACTCAAACCAGATCGAAATGCTAGTCGAGGGGAAACAAAACGAACGCGATTGCAATTTGGATAAGTTTGTTGAAAGGAAACCCTCGGGTCGGGCCAGATACCGACCCGACATAGGGCGCGGTACCCGAAACCGGGTCGATTCTATAATCGGGTCGAAACCCGACCCGACCCGACCCGACCCGACATCGGGTCTCGAGTCGACTTGACCCGCCCGGGTATACCCGACCCGACCCGGACGGGTCAGCTGTTCAGAACACCTGACCCGACCCGCCGGGGCACCCTGGTCATGCCTACTGCAAAGTCGAAACGCGTCTCCAAGCTTGAAACGCGTCTCCAAGCTTGAAACGCGTCTCCAAGCTTGAAATGCGTCTCTGTCACAACTTAGGCTTAGAACTGATACATTAGTAGTGAGCTAGAAGCTCTTTAAAGCTCAAGTACACATTTGTCAGCGGGGTTCAGGGTTTTACAGTGTGCCTCATAGTTTTTGGGGCAAGTTTTCAAGTTCCTAAGGAACTTGAACTCCTCCTTTCAAATGTATACCGGAGCTTTAAGTACATCCAAAAGGGCAAGGAATGGATGGGGAAGGGAATCGGTGGCAATCTCTAGGGATTGGGGGTAATCCCAAGGCAATCTCCAATTGGTGGGTTGGAGATTGCTTGGAGATTACATTTGGGTTTGGTTGGGATGTAGGTGTACACCCAACCAAACACAAAGTGCAAACTACACTACTCTAGGATATAAAGATTTAAAGTACAACGTGTGATTGATGGCTAACACTAACAGTCTCTTCTGCTGATCCTCATTCTTATCATAAGAGTCTCGTTCATGCCTCTCACCCTATGTCCTCTCAATGCCCTCGGTTGGAAAACGGAAACCCTCGCTCCTTTCCCTTCCTAAAGTCCACCATCCTCCCATGGTTTGATGCATCGTTTGCACCAAAAGGCTATTGTATGCCTCTTGTTGCTCCCTTTTCTTGTGCTGATCGCATCTCCATCTCCTTCTTAAAGTGACGGTGCACTTTTGGCATGGTTGGTTCAGAAGTTTTTTTTTTTAACCCCTGGTAACCATGTATTGTATTGCGGGAGTTGGGGGCCACACGGACCTCCCCAGTTTGGGGGAGAACTTCCGCAAGTAGATGTGGCTCGCACCCCGCTCCTACTGACAATAAAAAACCTATGAACAAAAGTGAACTCAACCGCTTCCCGTCGCAGGCAGGTTATAGGTTACACTAGTCTACAATAGTAGGCAGGCCGACACAGAATTGTACACAGCTATTTTCCAATCTCGCCAGAACTCACGGCCCCTATCTCACTCTAAGCCGCATCGCGGTGGCGTGTTCCTACACCTAATAACACACACTCAGCATCGCCACACGCCCAGCATATCCCACGCGCCACGGTTTCCAAATTTCACGACGTCCGTATTCCGCCCACATAGCACGCGACAAGACAGCCGTGTTTCACGCCCATTTCCGCCGTATCCCACGCTGCAGGAGGTCCGTTTCCCCTCTTATTTTGCCGGCTGTATTGAAATGTGCACAACGTTGAAATGTCACATCTCACCGCATCGAACCAACGACGCACGACGTATAGGTTGTCTGACCGGAAACCGGATCTGTCGTCCGCTTGAACACCAACAGAACCACGCCGCGGAGCGTCCGTTACTGGACGCGTATCTACCTGTCTGTAGCCCACCTCGCAATAGCGCCAAGTGTAGAAATACTCCATCCGTCGTCCCACGCCTCTCCCAGCACACATTACCGCCGCCACCCAAAACTCACTTCTTCCTCCAAGCACTCGTTTCCGCATCCCGTCAATCCTTTCCGCCTTCCACCACTCATTTCCCCCTCCCTTCATTGTACCCTCTCCCCATCACTCATTTCCGCCTCCCATCGCACCTACTAAATGCCCTCGTATTCGCCTCCCATCGCTCGTTTCCGCCTCAGATCGCTCGTTTCCGCCTCCCATCACTCGATTGCAGAGCATCCCATCATTCGTTTCCGCCGCCCATCACTCGTTTCCGCCTCCCACCACTCGTTTCCGCCTCCCAACACTCATTTCCAAGTCCCGTCACGAGTTTCTGGCTCCGTACACTCGTTTTCGCCTCCGCACGCTCAAATCGAGCCTCCCAACACTCAATTCCGCCTGCCTTCACTCACGTATGCCTCCCTCCCTCCATTTCCGCCTCCATTCGCTCGTTTGCACATCCCAGTACTCATTAGCGCCTCCCTACACTCGTTTCCGCCTCCCTTCGCTTGTTTCCGCATCCCTTCGCTTGTTTCCGCCTCCCTTCACTCGTTTCCGCCTCCCCCCGCTCGTTTCCGCTTCCCAACATTCGTATCCGCCTCCTATCACTCATTTTCGCCCCCCTTCACTCGTTTCCGCCTTCCTTCACTCGTCACCGCCACCCATCACTCATATCCACCTCCCATCACACATTTCCGCCACCAATCACTCGATTCCGCCTCCCTTCACTCATGTATGTCTCCCTTCGCTCATTTCCGCCTCCCTTACTCGTTTGCGCATCCCCGCACGTTTATCCGCTTCCCTTATCTCAAGGTAGGCACTGGGGAGAATACAGGACAGGCAAGAGGGAAAACGAGATGATGAGAGAGGGAAACGGGTTGCTATTTGGGGAAACGGGATGGTATGAGGGGGGAATAAGAAAGTGTGGGGGGGGAACGGGATGTGATGAGGGGAAATGGGATGGTATGATGGAGAAATGGGATGGTAAGAGGGAGAAACGGGATGGTAGGAGGGAGAAACGGGATGCTATGAGGGAGAACTAGGATGGTTTGAGGGGAAACGGGATGGTATGTGGGGAAACGGGATGGTATGAGTGGAAACGGGATGGTATGAGGGGAAACGGGATGATATGAGCGAGAAACGGGATGGAATGAGAGAGAAACGGGATGGAATGAGAGAGAAACGGGATGGAATGAAAGAGACACGGGATGGAATGAAAGAGAAACGGGATGGAATGAAAGAGAAACGGGATGGTCTGAAAGAGAAACGGGACGGGATGAGGGGGAAACGGGATAGGGTGGGAGGAAAACGGGATAGTAGGAGGGTGGAACGGGATGGTAGGAGGGAGAAACGGATGGTATGAGGGAGAACCGGATGGTTTGGGGGGAAACGGGATGCGATGAGGGGAAACGGGATGGTATGAGGGAGAAACGGGATGGTATGAGGGAGAAACGGGATGGTATGAGGGAGAACCGGGATGGTAGGAGGGAGGAACGGGATCGTAGGAGGGAGAAACGGGATGGTAGGAGGGACAAACGAGATGGTATGAGGGAGAAGCGGGCGGGATGGTATGAGGGGGGATGGTATGTTGGAGAAACGGGATGAGATGAGGGGGGAAACGCGGTGCAATGTGGGGAAGCGGGATGGTATGAGGGGGAAACGGGATAGGGTGGGGGGAAAACGGGATGGTAGGAGGGAGGAACGGGATGGTAGGAGGGAGAAACGGATGGTAGGAGCGAGAACCGGGATGGGGGGAAACGGGATGCGACGAGGGGAAATGGGATGGTAGGAGGGGGAAACGGGATGGTACGAGGGGGAAACGGGATGGTATGAGGGAGAAACGGGATGGTATGAGGGGGAAACGGGATGGTATGAGGGGGAAACGGGATGGTATGAGGGAGAAAGGGGATGGTATGAGGGGGAAACGGGATGGTATGAGGGGGAAACGGGATGGTATGGGGGAGAAACGGGATGAAATGAGGGGGAAACGCGGTGCAATGTGGGGAAGCGGGACGGTTGAGGGGGAAACGGGATAGGGTGGGGGGAAAACGGGATGGTAGGAGGGAGGAACGGGATGGTAGGAGGGAGAAACGGATGGTATGAGGTAGAACCGGGATGGTATGGGGGGAAACGGGATGGTATGAGGGAGAAACGGGATGGTAGGAGGGAGAAACGGGATGGTATGAGGAGAAACGAGATGGTATGAGGGAGAAACGGGATGGTAGGAGGGCGAAACGGGATGGTATGAGGGAGAGACGGGATGGTATGAGGTGGAAACGGGATGGTATGAGGTGGAAACGGGATGCTCTGTGGGCGAATCAGGATGCTAAGATGAGGAATCGAGATGGTAAGATGGGAATAGGGATGGTATGACGGGAAACGGGATGCTAGTAGGGAGGAAACGGATGCTTTGAGGGGGAAACGGGCGCGGAATGTTATGCGTGGCACGGTGCGTAGGGGACGTAATGTTATGCCAGGGCTTCTCGTAATGTCGCGAGAGACGGCTACTAGATATGTCGAAGTGGCATGGTATATCGTGCTAGAACACTGTACAAGGCCTCTTCGTTTTTTAATCTCTACGTCGTGGGGGCCGAACCTCCTAGCGTATTACATGGTTCATAACCTAGACACGAAATGCGAGGGAAGGCGGAGCTATGTGGGAGGGGACGGAATACTACTAGTATGAAACTCGAATCTCGCGATCGTGGGCAGCATTCTGATCGACGATTGAGGCTTTGTGCGGGGTGCACGGCTGAACCGAGTTAGCGTCTTCGTTTGGGTGAAATCCAAACGTGATGGGGTACAAGCGACTGCGCATTGTGAAATGCGACACGGTCCGCGCTGGCTATGTGACGAGGTTTTCTTGCGTGCTCTCACTGATGCACATTGACCTATTTTTATTCCACTTTTTTATTCACCGGTTATGAGAGGCGTCACAGTCTTTAGTAGCACATTGAGCGGTGTGCGATGCCAGGTGAAGAATCCCCGTTAGCCGGTGCGCGCTCCGGTCATCTCATTAGGCCTTTATTGGCAGATGTCCTGTTTCGAGTGTGGTGCTGTCGAGGAAAGTTTGTTGCCGTGGTTTGCTCTCGTTGCGGAGGTGGAGTTCCCCCCCCCCCCCCTGTTGTCCTTTCCCCCTGGCCTCTCGTACTCATTTCGCTTTGTTTCGTCACAGCGTTTTCTTTCAGTTTTGCCTCGCACCACGGAACTCATTTCGCGCAGTGATGACGTCAGCACTGTTCCAAGGCCAAAAGTGCACCGTCGCTTTAAAAGCCGTCATCTTCCCATGGTTCGATGCATTGTCTGCACCATGCCACCATGCATCATCCCACTCGCCACCTTGCGTACCACCATGCATGGTCAACCCTCACGCAGTGACCTGCGCATACCAACACTCACGGGCTCCATCCCGGCCTCCATGGGCGCCATGCTCGATCTGCAGTACCTGTCAGCCTGCCCCCCCTCTGCTCTTCCCCTTCCTCTCCAGCCCTGCTTTCCGCATCTCATTTGCACACACATCCTCAAGTCTTAGGTAGGGCCAGATTTCTAGAGTCTTCCCTCCCTCTTATCCATGCCATTTTCCCTCCTATGCTTGCCATTCCCCCTTCTATGCTTGCACCGAACCATTGCGTAACCCCTTCTTGCCGTTTGATATTCCCAATATTGAAGATCTTAACCTGCTATCTTCCCAACCCCAACCTCACTGGCATTTTCCCCCAACCCCTCCCCTCACCTTCGCTCCTTTTTCCTCCCCCTGCTTGGTCTTTTCTGTCTCACAGCTATGTCAACTACGAGGCGACACCATGCGGTTCCGGGGAGTGCGAGGTGGTGCAGTACTCCGGCACAGCCTTCTGCCGTGCCTGCACTGACTTTTGCGACTCGTGCGATCGCAAGGGTAAGGAGGAGAGTGAGGGGAGGTTTTGAGTTACGACATTGCACTCAAATGTCACCTTCTTATGATGGCAACTGAACGGTTAAAAGGGCGGAAAAATGGGTCCAGAGAAGCATGTGGCGGAATTGACGGAATGGTGGTGAGTAGGGTGAGTTGGAAGATGGTAGTGTGAGATTAATTGATTTGATTTGAATTTAAAGAGCGAAACTGGGGGGGCAAGAATGGTTGGGGGAGAGAGCATGGTTGGGGGACAGAGGTTGGGGGACAGAGCATGGTTGGGGGACAGAGCATGGTTGGGGGAGAGGCATGGTTGGGGGAGAGGCATGGTTGGGGGAGAGGCATGGTTTGGGGAGAGAGCATGGTTGGGGGAGAGAGAGATTATGGCTGGGGGACAGAACATGGTTTGTCACCGAATATGCACGGTCGTGCATATAAGGTGCCAGTATTGTGGTGGTGTAGTGTTGGTGTAGATATGTTGTGAATGCAGATTCGAGGATAGGTAGGTGGGAGCTGGGAAGTTGATGCGAAGTTGGTAGGAGAGCACCAAGGGGTGAAATCCATGCAACCAATGGGAACGAACCAACCCAGGCTCGAGCCGCACATTGAGAAATGCACGGTTCGAGCCAGGGTCAGGTAAGTTCACTCTCACACACACACAATGCTTTCCGTTTGTTATCCTTTCGTATAGTGGATTGTTGTTGCTCCAAGCCTTGCTCACGGGTGACACACCACTCAGGGAGGACCTTTGAGGTGAGAGTCTCGTTTCTTTCATAACAAACGGAAAGGTGCGCGTACAAGCATGGATGTGTACGAGCTGCGTTGGGCAGGAATTACGGACGCCGTGAGGAGGATCGCCCACGGCGCGAACGCTCACGTGAGCGTGGGCGTTCCGTGGAGAGGTCGCCGCGGCGACCTGAGCGATCTCCGCGGTGGCCGGCCTTTCGCGCGGATCAGGTCCCTCTCGCGCCAGATCGGCAGGAGGGAAGATCCGCTCGAGAAGGAAGAGGCGGATCCGGATCTGTCACGATGGGAAGTGACCCATGGCGGACGGACGGGCGTCACGGAGCTGAGGGCGGTCATGGGTACCGCCAGGACACGGGAGCGTACCGCTCGCCGGAGGAAGGCTATCGCCGTCGCGAAGAGAGAAGTCGCGGGCGAGGTCTGGAGGAGTTTTTCTCGGGTCGCCAAGGCGATCTTGACGTGGATGGAGACGACGAGGCCGACTCGGCAAATCGAGTGCGGGAGACGAATCGTGAAGGCGAAATCAAGGGCGAAGACGAATCCCCGGAGGAAGGCGCAGGCGAGCAGCGCGAGATGCCTGCTGAAGTTGAGGACGACGATCCCGCGCAGGCGGGCGTGGCGGCAGAGCCGAGCACGGCGGAGGCGGACGGGAAGGGCGGTACTCGAGATCTGCTGCGCGACGGAGAGAAAGGCGACGGTGGGGGGCGTGGCAGTGGCGCGCGCGCTTCAGATTCGCGTCAGCAGCGTGACGAGGGACGTGGCGGCGGCGCGCGTTCGCCTGATCCGCGCCTGAATCGGGACGGAGGACGCGGCGGCGGTGCGCGCTCGCCAGAGCCTTGACTGAATCGTGATGGGGGACGCGACGGAGGCACGCGCTCGCCGGATTCGCGGATGTATCGGGAAGGGGGGCGGGGCGGCGGTATGCGCTCGCCAGATCGGCGGCAGAACTGTGGCGGAAGCGGTGGCGGCGCGCGCTCGCCAGACCCACGACGTCCGCACGGGGACGAGAGGCACGGAAGCGGCTATCGCTCGCCAGCACGGCAGCAGCTACATGAAGACAAGTGCAGGGGCGGCTACCGCTCGCCTGAGCCTCGGCAGCACCAAGACAAGGGACGCGGGGGAAGCGGACGCTCACCGGATCCGCGAAGGTATCACGACTGGAGAAGCGGAGGGGAGCGGCGCTCTCCAGGTCCTCGTTATCCGCGTGATGAGAGACGCGGAGGCGGCTACCGCTCGCCTGAGCTGCAACGGTATCATGGAGAGAGGTGGGGAAGCGAGACGCGCTTGCCCGACTGGCATAGGCAACCTGGAGAAAGCCGGGAAGGCGGATACGGCTCGCGGCCTCGGCAACAGAGCAGGGAAGGGGGGCGCGGCTGTGGGCATCACTCACCTGATCAGTACTGGCAGTATGACGGAAGACGTGCCAGAGAGGAAGGACGGGATCAACGCGACAGCAGAGAGGGAGGTATCAGAATCCCAGCCACTAACCACTGGGATAAAAGGGCTTGTTTGTGTAGCGGGTGAGTGCGCCCATAACCCCCCAGGCCAACATGCCTGTAACCCTTCCCTAGGATCATCGGGGATCTCCAGTGGACCTCTGACACCCCCCCGCACTGGGATGCCCGAGGTGCACACACCGGGATTCGAACCCGAGACCTTCGCTCTGATACCATGTCAGAATCCCAGCCACTAACCACTGGGATAAAAGGGCTTGTTTGTGTAGCGGGTGAGTGCGCCCATAACCCCCCAGGCCAACATGCCTGTAACCCTTCCCTAGGATCATCGGGGATCTCCAGTGGACCTCTGACAGGAGGCAGTGGGCTGATGCACAGCCTGGAGCGGGCAAGAGAGGCAAGGGAAGGATTACTGCGGGCAAGAGAGAGAGGAGCATCAGAGAGATCAGCAGAAGGGCCGAGCGAGGCGTGGGGAGAAGGCAAGGGAAGCACGGCAATGGTCACGAGGGTGGAGGTGCGAGCACGCATCTCAGGAGACCAGCGTACGGGCCCCACACTGAAGAACTACCTGATGCAGGTTGGCAACGTGCGGTACAAATGCGAAAGGAGCGGCATGGACTCAGTGGACTTCTTCCTGAGTCTGCCGAACACATTGGAAGGGGAGGCGGAGACATTATACAGGATGAAGATGGATGAGCTACTGGACAGGGCAGGAAGGTACGGGGAAGACCCTACTGAAGCATTCCTGAGGCGGCTAAAGCGGCAGTTTCCAGGTCACACTGCAGAGAAAATCAGGGAGTTCCAGGATTTCAGGAAGGGGCGGGGTGAGTCACTACTCACCTACTATAACCGGCTGGTCAATTTGGCAGAGGATGTGGCCTGCGCAGACACGGCCCTGCTCGTGAGTAAATTCCTAGATGGGCTGGAGGGCACTTTGGGAAGCGGACTGCGGATGAAAGTGTATGAGATGGGAGCTGATACTGCGCTGGAGGAGGTGTTTGAACTGGCAGAGAAGATGGAGCTGGCGCAGAGGAAATATGAAGCATACAGGCCCAGGCAGGCGGAGCGAGGCAGGGGACCTACATGGGCTGCTGCCATGATACCAGAAGAGAGGGACAGGGCAGCGGGAAGAGGGGAGACCAGGCCTGACACGCGGACGTGCCACCGATGCGGGCAGCCAGGACACTTGCGTAGAGACTGCAAGAACTGTGACTCCTGTGGCAAGCCAGGGCATCGGCGGCGGGAATGTCCAACGGCACCAAAGTGTGAAATCTGTGGGAAGGATCACACACGTACACAGCCCCACGCACCCAATCACATCACACCCACCTTGTCCTCCTCTCCTCCTGCCCTGCCAACAGCCCCACGCATCCAATTACCTCACACCCATCTTATACTCTCCCCTCCCCTCCCCCTGCCCTGCCAACAGCCCCCAACCCTCCAAAGTGTCGGAAGAAGCGCCGTGCCTGCTCGCTCAAGTCCTGCCCGGGCCGCATCTGCATTCCCTTCGTCCGCAGCTGCACGGGCTACAAGTGCATCTGATTCATACAAGGGCTTCATGTGCATGTGACTCACATGCATCCACGTGCATAGCCATGTGCGCTATGTGTGCTCTCTCCTCATTGTCCATATTACCCCAAATGTAGAAACCCTTATGAGCTAGTTTACTGTTTTGTTTTGGGGTGCGGGGTGGTTATCAAAGTAATTGGTTGTGGCTCTTCCATGCCTGTCTGATTCAGCAAATGTGTTTTTTTTTTCTTGTCACATGCCATGCATTAGGAAGAACAAGCATGTTGCATTAGGCAAACTTTGTACGTACTGTGTTTCTGATTGGTTTTCTAAATCTAAGGGCAATGATCACACAGCTTTGTTGCGACAACACAATTGAGTGGTGAATTTTTTTTTAAAACTCAATACTCGTTAGAGGGCCGTCTGCCATGCCTGCACTTACTTCTGCGACTCATGCTCTTGTGCACACATCACCACCACAGTTCAGCAAACAGCCTTGCAGTAGTCAACATTTGAAAATTGAAGTGCATGCATGTTTTAATCATCAAGTCAAGGGCCCTAACAGACGGAGGCACTAGAGCAAAAACACCCATCTTTTATGCCGTGAGGTGGGCCACGGCAATATATTGAGATAACCACCCCACACTTCAAAACAAAACATGAAACAACTACAGTGCTAGCTTACAGGGGTTTACATTTGGTGGAAAATGGGCAATTGGAAAAAAGCATGCATAACTTGCAAGGCTATGCATGTGGATGCATGTGCGTCAGATGCACTTGTAGCCCTTGCAGCTGCGGACAAAGGGAATGCAGATGCGGCCCGGGCAGGACTTGAGCGAGCAGGCACGGCGCTTCTTCCGACACTTTGGAGGGGTGATTGGAGCTGTTGGCAGGGCAGGAGGAGAGGATGGGAGGAGAAGGTGGGTGTGATGCGATTGGGTGTGGGGAGCTGTGTATGCATGTGTGTGCATGCGTGATACTCTAGAGCACGTTCACGGACAAGTACACGCACGCACACATGCAACCATGTGACTGCGAGCATGTGGGTGCGAGCAAAGCATGCAAACAGGGACAGGCGGATGCAGTCTGTTGTGTATTCGAATGCATGCTTCATGGATCGAACTCTGTGTCTTTATTCTCTCCCCCAACCGTGCTCTGTCCCTTTACCATGCTCTCTCCTCCACATTCGCTCATTGAACGCAAGTCACATGCTGTGTGTGGAGACGGATACGGTGCCTCACAAATCATTCCTCACACTATCTCAGAATTCCACCTTACGGCTCTCCCTCCTAGTCACCTCCCTTCTGTCACTTCTCCCCCATGCTTCCCTGTGCCCCTTCTCCCACCCTCTCAACCGCACGGTTGACATCGTAAGAAGGTGACACTTGAGCGAGCGCAACATCGTAACTCAGAACCTCCTGTCTCCCTCCTTACCCTTGCGAGAGCACGTGTCGCAGAAGTCAGTGCAGGCACGGCAAAAGGCTGTGCCGGAGTACTGCACCACCTCGCACTCCCCAGAACCGCATGGCGTCGCCTCGTAGTTGACATAGCTGTGAGATAAAGAAGAACGTGCAGAGGGAGGAAAAGGGGGGCAGGTTGGGAGAGTAGCCGGTGAGGTTAAGTTTCAGAAGAAAGTAGGTTCAAGCCTTCTACGACGGGAATATTAAACGGCAAGGAGGGATTAGACAGCAGATACATGCCGAATAGACTAAGAGGAGCAGCAAGAGCAGCAACAGCAGAGGTTCAGTGGAGCTTGGTGGTGAGGAAAGAATGCAAGCATAAGGGTGAGGAGTTTAGACGTCAGGCCCTACTTAGGAGCCACGAGTGCATGTGATAAGGAAAACAGGGTTGAAGAGAAAGAAAGAGAGCAGAAGGACAGGTGACTGACAGGTACTGCAGATTGAGCATGGCGCCCATGGAGGCCGGGATGGAGCCCGTGAGTGTTGGTATGCGCAGGTCACTGCGTGAGGGTTGACCATGCATGGTGGTACACAAGGTGGTGTGTAAGATGATGCATGATGGAATATGTTAAGGTGCATGGTGGCATGTGCTAGGGTGCATGGTGGCATGTGTTAGGGCGCATGGTAGCACGTGGGATGATGCATGGTGGCAAGCTGCAGACGATGCATATATGCATAGGAGGATGGTGGCTTTTAGGAGGGAGATGGAAATGTGTTCATCACAAGAAGAGGGCGAGGGTCAAAAGATACCATTATGGTATGAGACAAAGGAACACCTCTGGGTTGACCTTGTTGTTGCTCAACTAGAGTCACTTTTGAGAAATTTGAACAGGAGAAAAGGGAGAGAGACGCCTTTCGAGTTCTGGGATGCGCCTCAAGTTTTCACAAGCGCCTCGCAAAAGCTACACATGCATGCATGCAGGACGCAAAGAGGTCCAACTTGAACTTGCCATGCCAAGCCAAGATTACAGGCGTAACAGGTGTTGCATCTTGGTGATGGCGGTGGGGATTGTGCCCGATAGCAATGTGTAGCCTAGATCACTGGAGGAAGCGAGAATTGGGTGTGAGGGAGATGGTAAGAGAAGGAGAACGAGAGAAAGGCCCTTGATAAAAACCCCTGGAAGCTGGACTGTCACGGCCACCTTACAGCATGAGGGTATGGAGAGTACTCGTGGATTACCTGTGTGGGTCTCCAGCATGCTAGTAAGTTCCAATACAAGGGCTACCCCATCCCCATGTCTCCTCATTCAGGACTTGGACACATTTATCCACATGAATTCTTGCAAAATCGAAGACCATGCTCTTGCCTCGAGTGAGGCACACAGGCGTGTGTGCTCGTGAAGTGTGTGTGAGTTAGTGAAGCGTACAGGTTGGTGAGGGAAACGAGAGAGGTGATGGAGGCAGGAATGCTGCCCGTGAAGTTATTGTTGCTTAGCTTCCTGTGATAATGGATGGTGGGGGAGGGGAGGAGAGAAGCGGAGATGACGTGACACGAGACGTCTCAACACTCAGCCTCCTGTGAAGATGGATGGTGTGGGAGGAAAGGGGATGAGGTGTAGTGGAAACCTGTGTGCGCATACTCAAACACTAGCTGTGCACGTGGGTGCATGTGAGTACAATCATCGGACATACGCTGCATGGCCACAGTGAAACAATACATGCCTATGAATTCACATGCTTACATGCTCACATGCTCGCATTCTCGCAAGATCCCAAGCATGCAGCTCCAACAAGTCTCAAAACAAGTAACCGAGGTGTTTACATGCACTCATGTGTTCACATGCACTCATGTGCTCCCATGCACTCATGTGTTCACATGCACTCATGTGCTCCCATGCAGTCATGTGCTCCCATGCACTCACATACTCCCATGCACTCATGTGCTCACATGTGCTTCATTTGTGTCATCCGGGTGAGGACAGTCGGAAAGTCCTCTGAGAACTTGTTCTTTCTCAGGTCCCTGCCGTTGCCAACAGAGGCAGGTGGGCGAGTGAACAGGGTGGAAGAGATAAGGGAAAGGAGAGGCAGCAGGATCCTGCTTCACTCACTTTGATTCTCATATTCACGCAGATGCATCTTTCACATTCACCCCATACTCGCACCTTAGCAATGTGCCGTGGCACCTTCACAAAATAAAATAGATTCCTCCCCTTTCCTTCCCATGGTTAAAATTTGACATATCACAGTCACCCAGACTCACACACTCACACGATAACCCCATACCCATATGCTCCCACTTCCAATCCGTGCCTCATACACACGCCATGAACAGTGAAGGCGGGGTGCGAGTGGAATTGGGAGTGCGGACACAGAAGGATACGACGAAGGCGGGACAGAACAAGCGAGAGAGGGTGAGAGAGAATGTGGGAGTGTGGGAGGGTGAGAGAGGGAGAAAATGAGAACAGCCTGTCAGAGCAATGAAATCATGGTTGACAGTGGCAGGGTAACTTGGGTAGGGATGTGAATGAGCGAGAAGAAGAGGGGAGAGAGAGAGAGAGAGAGAGAGAGAGAGAGAGAGAGAGAGAGAGAGAGAGAGAGAGAGAGAGAGAGAGAGAGAGAGAGAGAGAGAGAGAGAGAGAGAGAGTGTGTGCGGGAGAGTAAAAGGGGGGGTGCATGGAGAGAAGGAGGAATTTCACGCACAGTCCGATTAGATCGGTCAGTGGGGAGAGGCCGTCAAGGCCGCCAGTGAGAGAGTTGTGGGAAAGGGAACTGGAGGGCAGATGGGGCGATGAGAAGGGGGCAGGAGGAAAGTGGTGAATGTGAGGCATGGTGAGGTATGCACCTGACGAGCAATGTGTGAGTGTGCGGGAAGGCACGAGAAATGTTTCTTTCGAGGGTCCTCTACAGTGGCACTGATTCATAAGGCGATGCAACGTGATGCAAGAGCAAAACAGAGACACATCACAGACGACAGTCGAATGAAGCTTATTTCAAAATATTTCAGCACGGAAAATCAGCAGCTAGGGTCTCTTTTGTACAGCCATGAGAGGTCGTGCAGCAGACCAATTGTGCTTGGAATGGAACCCTCAAGCTTGTTGTCGTTCAGGTAGCTGGATTTGTCAGGTGGAATGGGGTGAATGGCATGACATAGCATGGCATGGCATGGTAACATTCAAGCCTTTTAGACTTCTCAGAACAGAATGACAAGAGGAAGCTAAGGTCACAACGGAATGAAGGTTGCTGCCATTATAAGAAAACTAACATGAGGACGGATATTGTGGTAACCACCTCTCTCGCTCTCTCATCACCACAGATCTGCACCTCCCTCACTATCCCCTCTGTGCAAGCTGATTCGCTCATCCCCCTCCTTCCCCTCCCTCACAGGTCATCGAGGTACTCCAACCCGCCTATAAAAGTGGGTATGACTCCTGTCAGCTTGTTGTTGGACAGTGCACTGGGCGCGGAGGAAGAGCAGGAAAAGCTCAGAACAGAGGAGAGATGAGAAGTGCGGGTGTGTCGGGGTAAGCGGTATGGAGAGTTGAAGTTTGGTAGAAAGCACTAAAGAGATGTGAGTGAACAGGGAGTGCGTGTGCACGACGCATACGCACAAGCATGGGGGGAGGAAGAGAGAGAAGGTATGAGGGAGGGAGGGAGGGAGGGAGGTAGGTAGGGAGGGGGGGGGGAGGGAGGGAGGGAGGGAGGGAGGGAGGGAGGGAGGGAGGGAGGGAAGGTGGACGAAGATAAGGTTGAGTGGGAGAGCAGCGGGATAGAGGGGTCAATGCTTAAGGGAGGATAGATATGACAGCAATAGCGCTGGAAATGCCTTGACAGGTGGGTCTGTGGGCGGACTGACAGGTGGAACAGTTCAGTGAAGGAAGAGAAGAAGGCAGGGATCGTCCCTTCGAGTTCAATGCTGGCCAAGGACCTGCGAGCAGCACGGGGTGAACGCAGTCACACACTAACTCTTGTTCGAGTGAAGGAAAAGCCAAAACAGTGCCGATCGGTCGATTCCTCTCATGTGGGCAGGAGGACAGTGATGAACACAACTCCATGCAATAGAATCGTTCTCCACGTAAGAACCCCGTGATCTGAAATGATCTTTGAGAGTTATGTGACTTCAACTGAGAGCAGCATGGTGTGGACGCAGTCACACAATAGCTGTGTCCATTATATATTTGCTTCAGAGATAATCAGATAAAAACAGCTGGAAAGTACTCTGTACTATAGTAATGTACCACCTTGATTAAAAAAATTTGATCAAAGGCAAAAATGTTTGGTTTTAACATGCCTTCAAAACGCATGTTGGGCAAACCGACCGAACATGTTCCGTTCGACCCAAACAATTTCAAGGAGAGAGGTGTTTAGATATTCACCTTTATAGGCAAACACCTCATGTTCTCCTCAACCACAAACATGTATAGGCGAACATGTTTGTGTTTGAGTAACCAGCAAACGTTATAGTCATATCATCCTAAATGCTGGATTTCATACTTGTGGGTGGAGTGGTTATACCTGTTGGGCAGTGGGAGTGAACGAATGAAACACAAGGCAACACAAGGAGTTACACAAATGGCGTAAATAGAATCTGCAATATGGATCTGATCGTAATAGAATGACATGGAAACACAAGCATCCTATACCTACGGTACTGCTGAACTAACACCAGCTATAATTCTTCTTGTAGAGAAAACGTCGTGTGACATTGTAACGAGGTGAGGCAAAGAGGCAAAGGGCACTCTGAGGGAAGGGCAGGCAAGGGCTGTGAGGCAAAGAGGGCGTGGGAGGGAGTAATCGACTCACAGGTGGATCAGATTGGTGAGGGTGCTCAGAGCGTCAGGGATGGTGCCTCCCAGCTTGTTGTCGTCCAGGTAGCTGTCATGGGCGGATGGAAACAACGTGCTTGGGACCAGGGTGATTTTCTGAATTTATAAAAACAGAATTAAGGCGGAAAACAACCGAGGTAGAAACCAGCACAGGAAGGTACGTGCGAGCATGGGATGTGAGAGATTGTGCACGAGAGGTGTGGAGGGCAGGAATGAGAAAGCATATGAGAGAGAGCATACGCATGCATGCAGGGCAAAGACAACGCGAGGGGAGAGTTGCA